TCAAAATTGCTGGAAATGTAAAACACAGAAGGGGACTTACTACCACATGTGGTGGTCATGTCCAAAAGTAAAAAAATTTTGGAAAACAATTCAAAGTCAATTAGAAGAAATCACCACCCAAAAAGTACCCCTTAGACCGGAAACATACTTATTAGGAATACTCACAAAAGATTATAAAAAAGAGATACAATACTTAATTATACACATCCTAACCGCTGCCAGAATCGCTTTTGCACAGATGTGGAAATTGGAAAATACGCCAACACAGGAAAAAGTAATACAAAAAACAATGGAATGTGCGGAAATGGATAAATTGACCAAAGAAATTCAGGGAAAAGAAGACTCAGACTATTATCTAATTTGGCAAAAATGGTATAATTGGTTAGAAAAAAAGGACACGAATTAAGGAAATACCATCCAACTATATCCAAATACAGAAACAAAATGAAATACCGTTATATAAATATTGATATATGATGAAGTATAATATGTACAGATATATTGATATATAATTACCGAAGTATCTCCACTTCAAAGCTCAAGTCTCAAGACTTGATTTCATTGTATAGTTAGTTTATGTATAGTTTGTTTAAATGTTTGTGTTTGTCTGTGTATGTTGGACTATAATAAAAATTTGAAAAAAAAAAAAAAAAAAGAAGGTAACATAAAGTAAAGGAGATAAAAGAAAGAAATCAAAGGAAAAAACCGATTGAAGAAAATGAAGAAAAAAGACACCAAGAAGTGATTTTTGATATTTTTCATGGCAGTTCTAAGGTAAATATATTTTAGCCTCTCTAAAGCAGCTTTTCTGCACCTTTTGACCCTGGAGGAACCCTTGAACTATTTTTCAGGCCTCAGGAAACCCCTGAACATCCAGCCTCAGAGATAGACCGGAATTGTTTCATGGATAGACCTGTAGAGATGCATTAATAGTGTTCTTCCGCTAATAATAAAAAAAAATGAAACTTGCCTTTTCGATTTGTTGCAGAGATATTCAGTTCTGTGCCAAACATGAGATAAAAACACATTTCCTCGCAGGATCCCTTCCCCTGAGATTGTTGGGTGTGATCCTCTCCTTTTGAGATTGGACTCAGGGGTTCAGATGGGCTTGTTGCTGATGTACCTGCCTCCCAGCTGCGTTACAACAGCCCTGCCTGTGCTGCTAGAGGCGGTAGCTGGGCTGACGGTGGAGTTCCCCAGGCTTATGATACTGGGGGACTTCAATTTGCCGTCACTTGGTGAATCCTCAGATGCGGCTCAGGAGTTCATGGCTTCCATGACAACCATGGATCTGACCCAAGTAATTCAGGGTCTGACTCATTGGGTGGGGGGGGACACACACTTGACCTGCTGTTTCTTTCAGGGCAGTGGAGATATGATCTGGAATTAAAGGGTATAGATGCTTCTCCCTTGTCGTGGTCAGATCATTTCCTGCTAAGATTAGACTTCAGGACGCTACTCCTCCATCGCAGGGAGGCGGAACCGATTAAGTGGTACCGCCCCAGGCACCTAATGGATCCTGAAGGGTTCCAGAAGGAGCTTGGGGAGATACCTGACTCCCATGTCCACAGTCCGGCTGAGTCCCTGGTGGCTGCCTGGAATAGGGCGGCATCTGGGGCACTGGACCGGATTGCGCCTTTGCGACCTCTCCATGGCAGTGGATCCAGGAAAGCTCCCTCGTTTACCAAGGAGCTCCGGGAGATGAAGCGCCAGAAGAGACGTCTAGAGCGACGCTGGAGGACCAGTAACTCTGAATCTGACCGAACACTCTTAAGAGCCTTTATTAGGACTTTTTTAGTGGCGATATGGGCGGCAAAATGTTCGCATTTTTCTGCACTTATTGCATCCACAGATTCGTGCCCAGCCGTCCTATTTAGGGTGACTTGCTCCCTCCTTAATGTAGGGGGAGTGGAGGAGCCCTTGCAGGGTAGAGCTGAGGAGTTTGTGCAGTTTCTGTCGGATAAAGTTGCTCAGATTCGGATGGACCTGGACTCTGGGCAATTCCGACCGAGATGACGGGGACAGGTCTTAGTCCTATTGTGTGGGATGAGTTTGAGCTTGTGACTCCTGAGGAAGTGGACAAGGCTGTAGGAGCGATGAGTTCCTCCACTTGTTTGTTGGACCCGTGCCCCTCCTGGGTGGTTTCGGCCAGCAGGGAGGTGACACGAGGCTGGCTCCAGGCTTTAGTTAACGCGTCCTTGAGGGAAGGGGCCTTCCCGCAACCATTAAAGGAAGTGGTTGTAAGGCCCCTCCTCAAGAAGCCTTCCCTGGATCTAGCAGAATTAAAGAACTTTCGTCCAGTCTCCAACCTACCCTTTGTGGGAAAGGTTGTAGAGAAAGTGGTGGCACTTCAACTCCTGCGGTCATTGGAGGAAACGGATTATCTAGACCCTTTTCAGTCTGGCTTCAGGTCTGGCTACAGCACGGAAACTGCTTTGGTCACGCTGATGGATGATCTCTGGTGAGCCTGAGATGTGGGTCATTCCTCCATCTTGGTGCTACTTGATCTCTCAGCGGCTTTCAATACCATTGACCATGGTATCCTTCTGGGACGACTAAGGGAGCTGGGAGTGGGAGGCACCATGTTACGGTGGTTCTCCTCCTATCTCTCTGGTCGGTCATAGTCGGTGTTGGTAGGAGGACAGAGGTCGACCCCTAGGCCCCTCGTTTGCGGGGTGCCTCAGGGCTCGGTCCTCTCTCCCCTCCTATTTAACATCTACATGAAGCCGCTGGGTGAGATCATCCGATGACACGGGGTGAGGTATCAGCAATACGCGGATGATACCCAGCTGTATATCTCTACCCTGCGTCAATTCAGTGATGCAGTGGATGTGATGTGCCGGTGCCTGGAGGCTGTGAGGGTCTGGATGGGAGTCAACAGGCTCAGACTTAACCCAGACAAGACCGAATGGCTGTGGGTATTGTCTCCTAAAGACTATGTTGACTGTCCATCCTTGGTTCTGGGGGTGGGGGAGAAATAGTCCCCCTCAGAACAGGCTCGCAATTTGGGTGTCCTCTTAGGATTAGAGCAACATCTGACAGCTGTGACTAGGGGGACCTTTGCACAGGTTCACCTGGTGCACCAATTGCGACCCTACTTGGATCAGGAGGCTCTCCTCTCAGTCACTCATGCCCTTGTCACCTCACGGTTAGATTATTGCAAAGCGCTCTACATGGGGCTCCCCTTGAAAAGTGTTCGGAGACTACAGTTGGTCCAGAACGCAGCCGTGCGAGCTGTCGTGGGTGCACCTAGAAACACTCACATTACACCAATTCTCCGTGAGCTGCACTGGCTCCCTATTGTTGTCCGGTCACAATTCAAGGTGTTGGTTATTACCTTTAAAGCCCTACATGGCTCAGGGCCAGGTTGTCTTTGAGACCGCCTTCTACCGCATAGCTCCCAGAGACCGGTAAGATCCCACAGAGTGGGTTTCCTCCGGGTCCCATCAGCTAAACAATGTCTGCTGGCGGGCCTGCAGGGGAGGGCCTTCTCTGTGGCTGCCCCAGCTCTCTGGAACCAGTTACCTCCTGAGGTCCCGACATCCCCACCCTATTGGCCTTCCGAAAAGCAGTGAAGACCTGGTTATTCTGGCAGGCCTGGGGCCGTTGATCTTGCTCTTGCGATCTGGCAAGATCCGGCCATGAATGGCATGAATGAGTTTTAATGTTTTAATGTTTTTAATTTTTAAATGTTTTTATTAGGATTTTAAATATATTGTGAGCCGCCCTGAGTCTTCGGAGAGGGGCGGCATTTAAATTGAATTAAATTGAAATTGAAATTGAAAATTTCATCTTCAAGTGAAATAAGACAATTTCTGTCTTAGCTTCTGATGCTTCTGAAGTACGACAGAGCTTGTTCCCAGAAGTTGAAAACTGCTGCCACATGTTCAGGGCCTTCCTGTGAATGGCAGGAGATTAATCTTGGGCAGAAATCCACAACTATTTTTCCCACAGGGAGATCAGGGAATCTCCTCTCGAGAGCAGGATCAGATTGCAGCTCAGGAGGTTCTTCCTCTTCCTCCAAAGGGAAGTTCTCTGGCTGAGCAGAAGATGCAGAGAAAGGATCCTTCACCCGTCATTCCTGGGTGTGGAAAGGGAGGGAAAGGACTGGTCAGTTTAGTTCAACTCTACTTACAGGTGGTTTCTCCTTAGATTTGAGAATTCCTGGCATCCTTACTCCCTCTCAAGCCCAGACAGGAGTAGGAACATTTCAGGGTTTGCTTTTGGTTTTTTCAAACATTCCGTTTTCGTTTAAATCCAAGAATCTGTTCACTCGAAGTTGAAATATCTTCTCCAGGGCCTTGCAGAGACTGTGAACTTCAAGCTCCTTTCAAAGGTCAATAACCCTTTGGGTGTCCAGATGAGACTGGGCCACTGGCTGCTGTTGCTAAGAAAAATATTCCTTTGTGGCCCTTCAAGGCTTCATTCCCACATTGCACTAAACCATGGTTTGTTTCTGGTTAGCACAATGTGGGAACCAGCCCTTGTGACTTAGTGCTATTTGTGAACGTAGACCAAGATTTATGGTCACAGAGGGATCCCTGCAAGCTTTTGGATAGATCAACCAGATCCTCTTTGAGACCACGACATTCTCAGTCCCTTTTGCAGCCGCAGATTCAGGCAACTGTTCCCTCTCAGGGATCCCTTCCTCCCCCCCCACCTCCCCCAGAGGAACAGCAGAAAGAAAGATGGAAGGATCTCCGTCCCTCCGTTTCTTTTACCAGTCCTTCTTTTCGCAGTCTCTCTTGGGATCCTCTGCTGGCTTTTCCAGATTTCCATTTCCTGGGGAGCTTCAGGGACTCTGTACCGGGGGGAGGGGGGGAAATGCAGGGAGGCAGGTGGAGGGAGGAGAGAAGGGCGGTTAGTGATGGGGGTTTCTTTTCCTTGAAAGCTAGGGAGGAAATGAGGGTCTCAGTGCCTCTGTCAAAGTCCCTGAAGGGAGGGAGGCAGCTCCATCTATCTTTGGGACTCACCAAACCATCTTCCTGTCTATCTTTTAGGCCTGCACACATTGCAGAAGATGTATGGCTGTGAGCTCCGGGGAGACGGGAGCAAAGGAGGGTTTAACCAATATGGCTACGAAGGGAAGACCTTCATCACCTTCGACAAGGAGACCCTCACTTGGGTGGCTTCCGAACCCCAAGCCCAGATCACCCAGAGGAAATGGAACGCTATTCCAGGAGAGAAGGAGACCAGGAGGGCCTACATGGAGGAAATCTGCATTGAGTGGCTGGAGAAGTACTTGTCCTATGGGAATGAGACGCTGCTGAGGACAGGTGAGCATCTGAATGCAGACTGGACTTTCCTCCTTTATGGCCGGATCTCTTGTGCACATTCAGCCCCTTTGGGTCCCTGGTCTAGAGCCTGTTTGCCCTGGTGGGAATCCTCCTCTCCCCCCACCCCACTTCAGCCTCTTTCCGAGACATGGGAAGCCCTGTTTGGTTCCCATTGCCAGGCAGCCATTCAATGGACCAGGAAATGCAGCCTCTGCCTGGCAGCTGACTGGGTGGGTCAGGCAGGACAATCACTTAGTGGTGTCCTGTTCACTGCCCACAATAAGGCAACCATTTGGGGCTATTCAATGAAACCTCCACTAGCCAAACTGTAGTCAAGTGTGGTGGGCACCCTTAATTTCCCCCCATTAACTCTGTTTCTCCCCACATCCCACAGGAGGCTCCCTCCCTGCCTTGCACCTGATGGTGCATCTCCCACCCCCACCACTAGAGGGCTCCACTTCTACCATTAATAAGACATTATCAGTGCCCCCACTTGGGCAAAGAAGGCCATGGATGAGGGGTTCTTTTCTTTCCTTTCCAGGACGGTGGGGGGAGCAAAGTTTCTGTCAAACCTCAAACAGGTTCCCACAATTCTCAGTGAGCCTTTCTCAAAACAACCCCCTCCCCACCTTCAGGGACACCCCCTCACCCCACAGGGCGGCTCACGTTACAATCTTTTCCTAGAATTTTTTATTAGTTTACCATATAGACCCATGATGGCGAACCTATGGCACGCGTGTCACAGATGGCACGCAGAGCCCTTTCTGCGGGCATGCCAGCCGTCGCTCCAGCCCAGCTCCAAAGCACATGCGTGCACCTCCCACCTGCCAGTTGGTCTTCGGGTCTCTGCCACGTATGTGCACGGGGGCGGGGCCTTCCCCGATCTCTGCTGGTTCCACCCTCTGCAGGTGCCTCTCCGTGGCAGGAAGGCAGGAGAAAGCTAGGACGTGATGGGGGAGAAACTGCAAAGATTGGAGAAGGCAGGAAAGCAGGAGAAAGCTAGGATGTGATCTCCACAGTTTCTCCCTCATCGAGTCCTAGCTGTCTTCCCCCCACCCCACCCCATTTGGGGCCTGAAAAGCCTCCTGCACCAACCTGGAAGCCAAAACGGGGCCCAGGGCGCATGCGTGGAGAGCACTCACATTGCATTTTGGGGGTCTGTCACGGGGCACCAAAAAGGTTAACCATCACTGATATAGACCATTCCTCTCCCCTAGCTCTACCGATTCCCCGCTGGGGTCCTTAATCCCTCCAGGATCAGTTGGATGAAATTAGGATCAATGGGGGAATCCATCCCCCCCCCCCGATGGTTGCCAACAGCCCATCCCAGCCTGGGGAGGACCTTCTCTCTCTTCCATTGGCATCAATCTTTCTCTCCTCCCCCCCCCCTTTCAGAGACAAAATCTCTTTTCCAAATTGATCTGTGTGAGATTCCCTTTGATCTCTCTTCCCTTGGAAAGAGGCTTGGAGGAGCCTCAGGTTCAGGAGAGCAGAAGAGGATGCAAAAAGTAGGGAGAAACTTCTATGTTGTTGTCGTCTTTAAAGGGAATTTAAAAGAGCATCTGCGCTATCCCTCCCCTGAAGGGAGCAGCCCAAGATCAGTCAGAGTTCAAAGCAATCAGAGAGGAACTTTCTTGGACCTTCAATTTCCTTCTGGAGGTTTTTCAGGTTGAGTCCCTGGGAACAGTGGTGGGTTTCAAATTTTTTTACTACCAGTTCTGTGGGTGTGGCTTGGTAGGCGTGGCTTGGTGGGTGTGGCAGGGGAAGGATACTGTAAAATCTCCATTCCCACCCCACTCCAGGGGAAGGATACTGCAAAATCCCCATTTCCTGCCAATCAGCTGGGACTTGGGAGGCAGAGAACAGGTGGGGGCAGGGCCAGTCAGAATTTTTACTACCGGTTCTCCGAACTACTCAAAATCTCCGCTACCGGTTCTCCAAAACTGCTCAGAACCTGCTGAAACCCACCTCTGCCTGGGAAGGACTCAAAATCAGGAGTTCTTGTGGTTGAGAGTTTTCCAGATTTGGAGCATTTCCTGAAACACTTGGAGACGCTGCAAGTGTGGAATTTAAATCCTTGGGTTAAAACTAAGTGGTGGGAGATTTCCTGCCCCTCTAAGTTTCTCATCCACGGAAGGAAGGGAAGGGAAATTAGAGGAGGAGAGAGGGGAAGAGAGGAGGAGGAGGGGAGGGGAAGTAGATAAGAGAAGAGGAGGAGGAGAGAAAGTAGGAAAGAAAGAAAAGAGGGAGATGGTAGGTTGGAGGAGAAAGATTGCTGCACAATAAAAAAGAGGAAATGGAAGAAAGGCAACCCCGAACAAATACAAATATATTAAGATAAAGAATGAATTGTTAAAGAATAAAAGGGAATAAACATGAATAAATAGTAAAATTAGAATTTAAGGGCAAATGAAGATATCGTGTATGTAAGTAAGCATAAAAATAGTGAGATATGATAAAAAAAAGGGGGGGGGAGATTTTGGCAAGAATTGTAATTGAGTAAAATATATTTGAATTTAATTAATTGTATAAGACAAGAAACGGCCAATACTCTGTTCAAAAAAGATGTGGGGAAATGGGGGGGGGGAACCAATAAAACTTGTAAATGTGCAAGTTTCTCATCCACCTTCCAGGCTCTGGAGGGGCTCAGAGTTAATTCTGGGGGTGCCGTTTCTGCAGAGACCCCAAAGGTGACGGTGAGCAGCAGGACAGAGGTGGAGGATGGGATGGAGACGCACATCTGCCAGGTCCATGGCTTCTACCCCAGGGAGATCGATGCCTCCTGGACGAGGGACGGGGAGGTCTGGCTACAGGACACCCTCCATGAGCCTGTGGCCCCCAATGCTGATGGGACCTACCACTACTGGATCAGTGTCAAGATCGATCCCAAAGAGAGAGACCGCTATCGGTGCCACGTGGATCATGACAGCCTGCAGGAGCCTCTGGACTTGGAACTGAAGGGTGAGAGGCTGCAGGGAGGGGAAGGCTGGGCTCTTTGGCAGCCTGGAGGGTTGTGGGAGAGAAATCTGACCCCAATTGTGTCCAGGTGTGAATATACCTGAGCTTTAATCCACTGGTTTTCCCAGTGTTTGAGGTTGGTGAAGCTGCAGGGACCAGACCATAGAACTGGCTTCAGGTGATGGAAACTACAGAATCCCATCACAATACTTGGCCGATCCTGATGAAATGCCCTTAGATCTTCTCTGAGGCAAATTCTGATTAAAACGGATGAACTGCAGCTGAGTTCAGGAAATGCAGAGAGTAGCTGGACTGATGCTTCAGGAGTCAGAAAATAAAGTACCAAAGTCTCAGTTTTTTCTCATTAGAGACTAACAGGATTTCTTGCTTTAAAGGTCAAAAGGTCACTCTGTGTTGCTGCTCTAAGAAAGAAGTTGCGCATTATTTTATGATACGATACATGAATTCCCGAGGCTCAGCATAAATCCCAAGGAAAAGATCCCTCTCTCATAAGTGTCCCTAATGTTTTTTACACTGGACGTCCAAATTTGCAAAATTCAAATTCTAATTTTTTTATTGATGATTGTCACCACGATACAAGAAATATTCAAATGTAATTGTTATGCTGATATCCCAGGGAAAATAAAATATTTCTTTTATTTTTCTGGTTGTTTATAGCAAGCATCAATTCACAGGTGGCATGATTGCTATTCAATGGGAATTCTGAATTTTGTGCAAGAGAAATTTAAATTTGAAGTTCCTGCCTCAAACCTGCCCCCCCTCCCCCAAGCAATACCAATTTATGATGCTTTGCTAAGACCATACTTGGAATTCTTCATCCAGTTTTGGTCGCCACAATATAGAAAAGATGTGGAGACTCTGGAAAGAGTGCAGAGAAGAGCAAGAAAGAGGATCAGGAGCCTGGAGGCTAAAATATATGAAGAGCAGTTGCAGGAATTGGGCATTTCTAGTTTAATGAAAAGAAGGACTAGGGGAGACATGATACGTTCCAATATCTCAGGGGCTGCCACAAGGAAGAGGGAGTCAAGCTATTCTCCAGAGCACCTGAGGGCAGGACAAGAAGCAGTGGGTGGAAACTAAACAAGGAGAGAAGCAACCTAGAACTGAGGAGAAATTTCCTGACAGGGAGAACAATTCATCAGTGGAATGGCTTCCCTTCAGAAGTTGTGGCTGCTCCATCACCAGAAAGATTTCAGAAGAGACTGGAGAGCCGCTTGTCTGGAAGGGTATAGGGCCTCTGGAATGAGCAGGGGGTTGGACTGGAAGACCTCCAAGGTCCCTTCCAACTCTGTGACTCCGTTATTCTATTTCTGCCATTTGTGGGACCATCCAGAAGTCGGATATCACCATATTCCATTTTTCATGCTGAAGTTCTGGAAACACAAATTATAATTTTTTGCTATTCCTGGACTGGCCAAGGAAAATGAAAGTGTATATTAAAAAAAAAGGCTAGGTGATATGAACTATTTTACTTTAAATAATAAAATGCAAACATTCAAACTGGAGAAAAAAGCATACAGAGCTGCCCATTTCCACTCAGAGTCATGGCTTATTGGAGCAGCCTATAAAAACAACAAAAATGTTTTTGTTTTAACAAATTTTGTTTACATTATTGTGTTGGTGAAGTTTTTGTTTTGCAAGCTGCTAAGGTGCCTGGTGGCTCAGCAGACTGATAGCATTGTGATTAACACCAGCTGTCTGCAATTACTGTAAATTCGAATCTCACCAGGCTCAAGGTTGACTCAGCCTTCCATCCTTTCTAAGGTAGGTTAAATGAGGACCCAGTTTGTGGGGGGCAATAAGCTGACTTTGTATAAAAATATACAAAAGTATGAAGGCTATTGCTTAACGCGTTGTAAGCTGCCCTAAGTCTCCAGAGAAGGGCGGCATATAAATCAAATTTTAAAAAATTAAAAAAACAAGGCTGAAAACGGCTGTTTTTGAGTGGAAAAGCCAAAGATGAATTCAGTTGCCTTCATGCTGGGCTGGTGTGAGAAGGAGGCAGCATCATGAGGACACGTCCTCTAACAACGGTTAGCAAGGCGTCTTCATGTTACCTTGAGAAGGACACAAAAATGAGCCCATGGAGTTTTGAATTTGGGGAAATTCCAGCTGTCATTTCTTTAGGTCATGTTTGGGGTTCTCCATCAATGATCTGATCTTTCTCTCCATTCAGAACCAACCAATTCAAAATCCAACCCATGGCTCATCATCAGCTGCGTTGTGGCTGCTCTTGTCCTGCTGGGTGTGATTGCTGGGATCCTCCTGGTATTCTTCAGTAAGTATCTTTTCTGGGGGGGGAGGGGTGTGATGGAAGGAAGATGGGGAGATTCCCCCCAAGTCTCTCCCTTTGGGAAACTTATCAGCTTCAGAAGTCCTGTTTTCCCAGCCCTCTTGGGGAGCATCTGAGATCTCAGCCTCTCGCTGGGACTCCAGTCTGGATTCAGCTGAGTCTGAGATTCAGGCAGTCCTGTCTTCTCCTGACCTGGGAAGAGGCATCCCAGTTCCTTTGTCCCTCTCAAAGGCTTTGATCAAAGAGCAGCAGAGAAGGATTTCCATGGAAACCTTCCTCCCCTCCCAGCTGCTGCTGCTGCTTCCCCCAATTCCCCTCCATCCATCTCAGAGGCAGCAAGTCTCTCTTGGGGCAAATCAGGAGATACATTTGTATTTTGAAGGTCTTTCTGTCTTTGTTCATGGGACAAAGTGACTGTGAAGTATCTCCTGGGGTTCTTCCTCCTACGGAGGGAGAGTTTGGATGATCTCTGGTGGCTTCTTTTGAGCTTTCACTGATTTTTATCCTTGCAGAGAGACGTCAGGATGGCTACAAAGCAACGCCAAGTGAGTGACTTGTCCTCTTTACATGTAATCTCCGATTTAGAGCAGGGACCAGAGGCACCATTAATTGAGAGGGGAGTGTGCATGTATGTTTGTGTGTGCTATCTTCCTCTTCCTTCGAAGATCCAGGCTGGGGAAGATGGGCCCCCTTTTCATTACAGCTATCTTTGCTAATGGTTTGCATTGGGAGCGTGTGCAGCACTTCTGTGTGCGTGCAGTGCTTCTGCACATGTGCAGAGTGTCCATGATGGCGGGTGGGCAAAGCCTCCCACTGCCGCTACTACCGGTTCGCAAGATCCGGAGCGAACCGGTAGGAACCCACCACTGAGCTAGGGTGTTAGTGGGAGTGGAGTCCTCCAGGAGAAACATCTGGGAGAAGGAACCTTCAAGACGATGAGAAGACCCGGCTGGTGGAAGGTCCCTCTGACTGAGAACATGCTCTGCTTCCCAAGTAGGCAGCAAGGGAAGGCTTGGCCAAAGGAGAGTCAGAAGCTCCATAAAATTAGGGGTCAAAGGGGGGCATTTTGAGAGAAAAGGAGCTTTGGGGGATGCCGCCTGATCTCCTCTTGGTCTCCCATCACAAGGCTCACTAAGTACGAACTGGTAAGAAAAAGAAACTTTGGATCCATCTGCATCTTTTTTTTTTTTAATTGAAAAAGTTTTCAAATACAAGTTTTTCCCCCTTTTTTCCCCCCCTCCCCCTCCCTAACCCCCCTCCCCCCCTCCCCCCTGTGACTTCTTCATAACAAAAAACCAAATTCATAACAGATTACTTACTCCCTCCTCTAAATACTGACCTTTACTTACTAGAAATATTATTAATATTATAACATCCCCTTTTAACCATACATTTCAAAAAAGAGAAGAAAAAAAAAGAGAAAGAGAAAAGATTCTACTATGACATTATATGATGACTTCTAATTTAACATATTTTTATAACCCCCAATTTAACAATAATCTGCCCTTTTTCTCCTCTTTCAAACTTTTATCTATATATTATTTTACAACATTTCAAAACCACCTTCCGCTTTAAAAATATATAGTAAATCCTGCTTTAACATTTAATCTTTTGTGTATATTAATATAACATTTTAAAGCGGCCTGCCCCATAAATCCTAATTTAACATTTATTCAACTCTGTCCATTTCCTCCACTCCCCTAAATATATCACTTAAACATCCCTTTTCTTAAACTAATCAGTCTGTAAACTAGCTTATTCACCCACTTTCCTGCAAAATTGCCATACACAACAATTCTTAATATCTTGAATCACTACCCACTCTGCTTGAAAATATATATATATATATATATATACGTATATATTCCAATATATCTAAATAGAAAAGAAAAGACAATGACTTTAAGTTTATAGTCCATATAATATCTTCTTTGAAGTCTTTCCGCTGGATTATTAAGACCATCATCCATAATAGGGTAACATAGCTTCCTGATGCAACAGTTTGTTCAAAATCTTCAATCATATCTGCCCCCATCAGTAGTAAATATCCTCATATATATATAAAAGTAAAAGCAACCACCCGAGTGACATTATAGTTATATTCCATATAGTTGTAATTGTGGCTTTCCTCAGGATTATTGATTCCTATCATCCTAGTGGGTAGCAACCAGATCTTCTGCATGCCCCAACGTAACTCTCTTGCCTTGTAACTCAAGATAGTTATAATATATTTATCAGTACAAAAAAAAAAAATCCAAAGTAGATGATTCAAATCCAACAGTTTAAGGCTCTTTTCACATCCCAGAATTACGGCAATGCAGAGGTCTGTCACTGTCCTCAGGATAATATTAACCAATACTTCACCTCCACTATCTTTTCACATATTCATACATTTTTTAAAGTCACTGGCTTCACTGTTGCTTGGTTTAGAAATTTCTATTTTTGTACGACCTATTTCTTTTTTTCTTTTCTTTTTGTGGGTTTAATTTCCATCCTGGTTTCCTTTCTACAGATTGTATATCAACTAATCAGTTTTCATTCTGCTTTATAGGTTGATCTTGTTGGTTTTGTTTTTGTATCTCGTGTTTCTTTTTTGCCCCTTGTATATCATCTGGTTGGTATCCATACTTGTCTTTGACTTGATAAGTCATCACGTTAGAGTCAGATGGCACTTCTCTCAAATTTGTAAATAATCCGGCTGGGGTATCCAAAAAATCCAAAGGCAATTTATCTGGTACAGTCTCTGTAATTCGATATTTTCCCTTTATTTCCAACTCCTTCTGCTTATCCTGTATTGTGCCTAAAGATGTTAAATTCATTTTCAAAATGTTTTGATAAAATTATTCCGCTCTTTCAACAGTATTTAACTGGTATCTTTCTCCTTGATATCTCAATATAATACCAACTGGGACGTCCCACCTAAATGGAATATTTCTTTTTTTTAACTCAGTCACCAAAAAACCAAATTTCTTCCTTTCTGTTAATATCTTAGGTGGGAGTTCTTTGTAAATCCAAATCTTTCTTCCATACAATTGCAAATTAGAATTGAAAGAATTTTGCACAATGTTATTCCTAATTTCTTTATCTGTAAAATAAATCACCACATCTCTAGGCAATTGCCTTTGCTTTGCAATCCAGGAGTTTATTCTGTAAACTCTGTCAATCCTACAAAACACTTCCTCAGGTTGAACCTTTAAAATCCCAGCTAGAATTTCAGAAGATATTTTCCTTAAATCATCTCTGTTATTTTCCTGCAAACCTCTCAGTCTTATCGCATATTCAGTTAAATTATATTGTACCATTAAAACCTCTCTTTCAATCCTCTGTTGCAAATTTTCTACATTGCCAGTCTTTTGATCAGCCTCCATTTTAGGTTTTTCTTCTGAGCTATTATCTTGAATATTTATCAAATCATTTTCAATTTTTTGAATTCTATTGTCCAAATTATCTTGAGTTTCTTCCATTTTAGACTCTAGTAACTTAGTATTTGCATCCAACTGTATCATAAATTCTGAAAAGCCATTAGCCATTTTTAAAATTTTTCGCTCCAAAAAATCATACTTAGATTTCACCAATTCTTTAATTTCCTGCTTAAATTTTTCAAGGTGCTGATTCACAATCTCATCCCTTCTTACAATCTCCTCTAAGAGAAATTCTATTATATTAAAATCAGGTTGCTGAGACTGGAGACTTAAAACTTGTTCCTTTAGCTTGTTAGTGGGGGAATCCCCCCCCACTACTTGTTTGTCTGACTTTATAAGTCTCAGTGCCATGTTTCCGCCCAGGCAAGCTTTGTAAAAAAAAAAAAAAAAGACTTCTTTCCAACCAGAAGCAATATCCGATCCCCAGGAAAAAAAGAGAGAGAAAAAGAACACGGGAGCGAAGTTTTGTCTACAATTGTAGCCAGTGGTATTTATTCCGCTACTTTGTAATAATAGAGAACGGAAGAACTTTCCCTTTCAGCCTCTTCTCAAGGCTCGGCAGACGCCATTTTAAAAGTCCTTTTTTTTTTTCCTCTTTCCTTTCCCCTTTTCTCTTGAATAGTTTTTATAAAATAAGTAAAATACTTGCGATTCTATATCACAGGTCCAGCTCACATTTTCTTTAATCAATCTGTTAAATTCGCAGGCTTGCTCTTGTCGCCTGGCTCTGCATATAGCAGAGGTCTCCCAAAGCCCGGAGCAGAGGCTGGGGATATGGGGAAGCTCATCCGCTCCGTCCCAAAAGTAAAAGAAAAACTTTTGGGACTATGCAGAGAGCTCTACCCACCCTAGCTGGCTCTATCTCCGTTTCCTCATGGAAACGGAGTTTTTTCGAGCCGCCATTACGTTGTGAAGATGGCTCTAACAGGCAGTGGAAGCTGACGATCCCGAAGGAACATCTGGCGGTGGCCAGCAGCAAACCGGAAGTCCCCATCTGCATCTTTTTAAGTCAGCTCTGCCTTCTGGCTTTGTGTGATCTACACATACATTTTAAGAATTCTTTCCGATGCCTTTTAGCCAAAGCTGTTGGATCCAAACTCTCTCCATGTGTTTGTGAGTCTTTGATTGTGTGCGAGAGAGAGAGGGAGGGAGGGAGGGAGGGAGGGAGGGAGCTGGAGCCAGAAAAAGTTGAGCTTCTCCACCTATAAGCCAAGAGAGCGACTTTCTCACCCTTTTCTTTTCTTTCTTTCTTTTCCAGCAAGTGACAAAGGATCCAACAGTTCAGGCCAGGGTAAGTCAGAGGGAGCTGCTGCTGCTCCTACATGAGCCATTCTCTCCCTTTGCAAGCCTTTGGGTGCATGGGAAGATGAAAAGAGGGAGAGGCCCCCCTTTTTAAAGCCCCCCCCTAATTCATCCTCCCTGGGTTCCCTCTATGTCCAGTTCTAGTGAAATAATTAAAAGAGTCAGTTTGGTTTAGTGTTGAGGGCACCAAGTGAGTCTAATTGGGTTGAAGGTGAGTTCTAGTCCTGCCTTAGGCATGAAAGCCGGCCGGCTGTCGCAAAATTCACTTTCCTTACTCTGGTTCATCCTGCAGAGGAGAAGGGAAACTCTCCCTGTTGGATTCAGGCAGGGGAGGCAGCCCACAGACTGCATGGTGGGGCCTTGGCTCCCATTGGAGGAAAGAGCCCTCAATTCTTTGAGGGGAAATGGGGAAAACCACTAGCGATGCCATGATCCCTAGTGGTTAGAGACTCTTCTGGTGGCATAGCTGAGACCTGACTGACTGTGGAAGGGTGGGGGGGGGGATTCCCTCTTTCAGAGATGTGCCCAGCTGGGTTTAGGGTTTGATCCCGACGAGATCCCAGCCAGGATTGGTGGAGTTACACTGGTCCTCTGAGAATCTCTTCTGGCATTCAGGATACTCCCACCTCACGATTCTGGTTGTGACTCCCTGTTTCTGAATCTGGGCTCACTGGACCAGTTGGGCTTGTTGCTACATACCAGCCTCCCTCCTGCATGGCCACCTCCCTGCCTCAGTTGCTGGGGGCCATCTCAGGGTTGGCATGGACTTGCCCAGGATTCTGGTCCTGGGAGACTTCAATCTGCCCTCCCTGGGTTTGGCCTCGGAAGCAGCCCAGGGGTTCATGGCCTCCATGGGGTCTGTGAGCCTCTCCCAGATCGTCCTGGGTCTGACTCAAGACAGCAGTAACACACTGATCTTCTTGTTGGAGCAATGACAACATGATCTGATGGGGGAATCTGGTTTTTATTTATTGTTTTAAATATTCTATATGGCAGTTCATTGAATTTTACTGTGAGCTGCCTAGAGTCACCTTAATGAGATATTTGGGATGGAAGTTTAATTAATAAATTAATTAATAAAAAGCTTTCTGTCCTCTGAGAGGTTTGTGAAGCCGAAGAGGTTTAATGGTGAAGAGGGAGATTTGTCCTCCTCAGAGGATCCAGACATTCATTCATTCTGTGTCTCTTTCCCCAATCCAGGGAGCATCCAGGCCGTTAGCAGCCCCCTTGCAGGTGAGTGGACTGGGGGGGGGTGTATGGGGGGAGAGGGAGGGAGGGAGGGGAGGGCTTTGGGGTCCAAGGAACAAGGGTGAAGATCCTTTGGAAATCTCAGACACTGGAAGGGAAGGAATTTGGGGGAGAGGGCTCAGGGGAGGGGTCTTCCTGGCCCCAAACTCTGATCCTGTGGCAGCTCTCAGGCTCCGGTTGCCTTGATCCAACTAACCCTTGGATATTTTTCCCTTCCTCTTTGCAGGGGACACGCCCAGCATAAAGATAGAGGAATGAGGAGGGATCAGCCTTTGTCTGAATTAGGCCGGACTCTTAGCAGGAGCCCTTCAGGCCCTTCCTGCATGCTGGAACCAGGAGAGATTTTGGGTCTTTCATTATTGCTTTTATCATTGAATCAGTAACCTTTTTCTTTTATGATGATTGAGGATCACAGGAGAAAAGAATATATTATGTGTTACTAATTGTGGAATCAAAAGATTTCAAATTGGGTTTTGTAGATCATAGTTTCTAATAGGTAGGTTGCCTAACAGCCTTAATGGGCTTTTGCTGATTAGTCTGAGTGGATGGAGATTAGAGGTTAAAAATGAGGTTTTAGAGATGGGTTTATAGAGAATGGAGAACGAGGAATAGGATGAAGAGTTCATTGGTTTTACTTTAAGAAAGATTGATGAGTTAATTTTCATTATGCTTGTTGGAGATAAAGGTGGAGGTTGCTTTTTCTTTTTCCCCCTTGTGTTAGTTTTATCTGTTTAATCTAACCTTCAATGAAACTATTGCTAAATTGGGTTTTTAAATGGTTTTTAAATGGTTTTTAGTTGGGAGTTTTAAATTCGGCCAAAACTGATTGAATTATTTTAAATGGTTTTTAAATTTTGTCTCGTTATTGTTTTAACATGGCTGTACACCGCCCTGAGTCCTTCGGGAGAAGGGCGATATAAAAATATAATAAAATAAATAAAATAAGTGTGCATTCTGAGATTTTTTTCATTAAAATGGTTGATGCATTTTAATTGATTATTGCACGGTTATTTGATTATATATTTGATAACACAAAGTTTGACAATCAATATACTGAGTGTAACATATTGCTGAGCACATTGTAAGCCGCCCTGAGTCTTCGGAGAAGGGCGGCATATAAATCAAATTAAAAAAAAAAAAAAAAACATTAGTCACTGATTTTTTTATAAATTGCCATTTATGGATTTTCATGATTTAGAAAAATGGAACAGGGGATCCATTGCAGTCAGGCTGCTACCTCCTTAACAATGGCACATATATTGTAAGTTTGCCAAAATTGTTTGCTGAAAATAAATGATTTCTTTTCCTCTTGCCTGACTTGCTGTGTGTTTGGGGAGGTTGGAATTAAGAGGGATTTTACCCTCCTTGTTGATCAGAGACCCCGATTTCACTTTGTGTTGGAGGAAGGCGGGGAACCAAGGCAAAACCTGGAAGAAGGAAGAACTGGGGGCCTCCTGTGTGCTCCTTTGGGAAGGCAGCCATTTTGTTCCTGTGTCCAGATGTTTCTCTAGCATCTCCAGCTGATCTTCTGTAAAATGGCCATTTGGTTTTGGCTTGGTGGTGGCAGCAACAGAGCTTTTCCCTCAAATCCACCTTTGCCTCAGGCTGTTGGCCAAGTGGCTGATCTCTGAGCCTCATCCAGTGGCCCATCGGGAGAGAGGAGTTCAGTGACCGGCCAGAGACATCCTGGTCCCCTTGCAGAAGGGCAGCTTCTCCTCCTTCTCAGAGATCCTCTCTGGGCTCTTCAGCTGTCCAATAAGATGCAGTGGCCCAACAGTGGGGATACCTCTGATTTATGGGAAAGATGTTCCCCATATTAGAGTGGATGCTTTGGGGGCACGGAGGAGTGAAAAGGATGGGGTCTGTCCTCTCCTTCCCTCTGGACTAGCCATCTTTCAAAGCTTAAAAAGTAAACTTGAAAGCATTTTGCAAGAATTCAATGCATATTTCAGCCTCTTCTACTGATTCAAAACTTTCAGAAATTTATTTCTTAATTAGAATATATGACCGCCCAGCTCACATAAGAGGCTCTGGTCAGCCAACACAATAAAAATATCAGTACAAGAACAAAAGACAATAAATATAACGCACGAAAGAAAAAGGAGCACCAAGGATAAACCAGTCAGCCACAAATTCACTCAGTTTAGTCTACAGGTAGTCCTCGACTTACAACAGTTCATTTACTGACTGCTCATAGTTACAACGCGATTGAAAAGTGATTTATTACTGTTTTTTGCACTTATGCCCATTGCAGCATTCATGTCGTCAAAATTTGGACGCTTGGCAACTGGTTCATATTTATGACGGTTGCCATGTCCTGGAATCACATGATCCCCTTTCGACAAGCAAAGTCAGTGGAGAAGCCAGTTTCACTTAACAACCCTGTTACTAACTTAACAATTTCAGTGCTTCACTTAACAACCGTGACAAGAAAAGTCATAAAAAGGGGCAAAACTCACTGAACAAAATGTTCACTTAACAACAGAAATGTTAGGCTTAATTCTCGTCGTAAATTGAGGACTGCCTGTAGTAGTTAAGGCACCGGCTAGAAACCAGGAGGCAGTGAGTGAAAATGCCATCAGAGGCTTAGATTAGTCATGTAGTGAAGAGAGAGATTTAATAATTAAATGGCTCAGAATTGAATCTGCTGAGCATTCAAAACGGATCAGGAAAATAAACATAAATTACCCCGAAACATCTTCAATTGATCTGGGACAGACTTGGTGAGTGCTATGGCTCAGCAGAAGCCGTGTTCAAAAGGCTTGATAGCTTTCCCAAAATATCTAAAAGAGCCTATCAGAAATTTTGGGAACTTAAGAGACTTACTGATGGAACTACAAGTAGCTAAGTCGGAAGGGGACTTGCAAGGACTTGCATTCCTTGACACAGCCAGAGGTGTCAGCCCCATTGTACAAAAGTTACCCTATAACTTAACAGGAGCAGTGGGTCACACATGGCTCCACAGACAAAAGAGAGTAGAATGTTCCATTTTCCTCCTTCTCTGTTTTTGTGGACTTTCTGTGCCAACAAACTAAAGCAAGAAATGATCCTACCTTTGACTTCACATTGTCATCTGCTGCTCCTTCAGAACATGATCCTCACAAGCCTTCAGTAGCAGCCCACAAAACTAATGAGACTCCCCCAGATTACCTTCACAGGTCTGCCAGCAACTCTTGTTCTGCCCCAGCTACGGACCCCACAGAACGCAGCACACACATAATGTAGATAAAAGAAATAATGTGAATAAAATAGGAATCATACAGAGTCAGATATATGGGCTCTGGAGGACCCTCTCTATTCACATTATTATAAGGGGAAGACGTGCTTAGATACATGAACTTTGAGAGAACCTCTCTATTCACATTATTATAAGATAGAAAAGTGCTTGTTGGAGATTACATTAACAAACAGTTAAACCTCATTAAGTGGTAATATATCTTCTGATGAAACCTAGATGTCACGAAAGGAGTGCCATATGGAAAACATCTGAGTGACCTCATTGTGAATGACACAAAGACCTATATGTTACAAAGAGTTACTTAATCCAATAAATTTATCCAAGGTCAGCAGTAACTCTCCCATTAGCAACTCCGAGCACTTAGGAAAAGTTGTGTGGCTAAGATAATTTTATAAACTAAAATTAATGGTTTAAGTAATTAGATGAACATATTATCCAATGTATGTAACCATATAGGGAAAATCGGATGTATGATCTCATGTTAACCATATAAGGGAAATGTATGTTCCCACTGAATCCTTTGTCTTAGAAATGTATAAAAACAGTTGTATCAGAGTTCTCTCCTTGTTCAAAGCTTCAGGTACAAAACTGGCTCTGAACCTTGTGCAATAAAACTGTCTCTGGCTGACCCAGGAATGTTGTTTGGTCTCATCATTCCACAACACACAAAGTCTGTACAAACCTTAGTTTACTAATTAAGGACTACTAATGAGTTTCTTAGTAGTTGTTCAAACACAAGTACAGTTTAAATCAGTCTTTTCTGAACAAGGTCTGTTAATTTAACTTCATTAATAGCCAACAAGAGTCCAAGGAATAATAACTCAATTCTGAGGCACAGTCTTTCAGATAACCGTAAGCTTACTGTGGTTGGCAGAATGCCCAGAAGCAATTTGCAGGAAAAATGACAAGAGAGAAGCAAGAGCCAATCAGACGTTTCTGGAGTCAATACGCGAAGGAATATGAACAAAGTTGTTCCCTGCAAATTGCCTCAGTCGTAGTCATTCCTTAAATAGACTAGGGGAGTGGCCAATTAGCCCCAAGCCTTACTCTCGAAGAGACCTCCTCCTGAGGAGCCATTCCTACCTTTTGGCAGCTCTGCGCGCCCGTGCATTGAGAAGAAGCTCCTCCTCTTCGTCCTCTTCACTTATGGGAGCTTCTGGAGGTTGTGAAGGCCCTGGCTGAATCCCCGCCTCTGGCACCAAATCTTCTCCAGCCTCCTCATTGTCTGACTCAAGCGCCAGCTACACAGACTGCTGGCAAATCATCACACCAGCCTCCTCGCTGTCAGAATCAGCTACCTGCTGCTCAGGCCTCTTGCAGGCCACAACAACTCTCACCTAGAAACTGAGATCAGGGATCATGGTAAGCAGTGTCCTCTACACCAGAAGCCAGACCCTCTGCTCAGGGGTGAAATCTACTTACCTTCCCTACCGGTTCGGAAGAGCACGTGTGATTTTGGATCCTCTGCACATGTGCAAAGCGTTCTGTGCATGCACAGAGGGTTAAAAATAGGTTAACAGAACAGAAATCCATGCAAAATGCCCAGAGGAGTGCAAAGAGATTGCAGGCGGCAAGTCCTGCTCCAAAATCTGTTTGGTGTAATCAGAGTCTACCCAGCAGGCCAAACGGACAAAGCCATTAAGCTTTATGCCCTCCTAGACGACCAAAGTAAGAGGTTTTTCGGCTTTGGCCAGCTCAGCCTTCTTTGATGCCTTTGGCATTAAAGGCCCAGCACTCCATCTTCCTTAAAAGCTTGTGCAGGAATTGTGGAGACGGCAGGGAGAAGAGTATCTGATTTCCAAGTCAAGTCAGCAGACGGGAAAAGATGCCTGACTTTGCCAACTCTTATCGAATGCAACCAGATCCCTGACCATAGATCTGAAATCCCTACACCAGATGCAGCGATTCATCACCCACATTTGAACCACATAGTGCATCCAACATCAGAGCTCTATCCTATAGTCTTGCTCCCAGGGAGAGAGATTTTATGAGTCCACAAGGCCAGAGCTCAGATCAAGGGTCCCCACAATGCTCCCGAGGCCCAGAAATTAGACCTAGGATGAGTCATGATGGGAGAGGTCTGTCTTAGGGTTAAATGCACAAACCGGCCTCCCTTAGCAGCATGCTGACAAGTACATTAGAAAACAGACCTCCTCCTATTTTTCAGCCAAGCCCCAACCAATTCCTCTTAAAGGACTCGTCGCACGTCACCCGTCTGCCTTGTCCCTTCATGGGCATCCCCTTTAGTGACAGCCTCACCTGTGACGGTGACCGAGGGTCATTGAAGATGCCCAGTCTTCCAAAAGACGGAAGATGACAATCGGGTGGCAACATCTGCTGAGGACAAACTCCCTTTAGAAATGGGTTACGCAAAGAAGAAAGTGACAACCAGGTCACCCCTCTTCCCTTCAGACCACAGAGGCCACACCTACCTAACTATAAAGAACGAGCTTATATGATATATTAAAGGTGGAAAAATTTCTGAATGGAAATTTATCTTGGTTGGGTTTTCCTACATTTAAAAAAACGTGGCATTTTAACGGGATATGCTGACTTTTTATATCCACTGTAATCTGGTTCCCCCGTTGACTTTCCTTGTTGGAAGTCCCCTGGGAAGGTCACATGACCTCAGGGATGCTCCAAAGGTCATACCTGCAAGGACCAATCACTTTTTTCACCAGTGTTGCAATCTTGGACGGTCATTAAACAAACAGACATTAATTGAACTGTCATTAATTCAAGAATTACTTGTAAAGCCAGGGAAATTCAGGCAGTGCTCAATTTACCTTCACTTGTTTGGCAACTGTTCCAGATTATGGCAGCATTGAAAACACTGACTGCTCCTCGCACTTACAACCATCACAATGTTCCCGCTGTCACATTGTTATGATTCAGGTGCTTGGCAACCGTGACGCACTTATAATGGTCGTCCTGAGGCCACATGACTGCCATTTGTCTTTCCCTTCCAGCTTTCCCTGAGCAAAGTCAATGGGGAAGCTGGCAGAGAAAGTCATAGTCATGTGATGTCTTGCTTAACGACCAGGGATTCACATCATGTGTTCACATGATGCTTCACTTAATGACCAAACTGCTTAATGACAAATTTTGCAGTCTCAATTGTCAAACGTCGAGGCCTACGTGCAGGAACGGTTTGGGATGCAAGCAAAGCTTTTATGAGAGGATAGTTTAACATAATAGTAACTTTAAGGAGAAAAGGCAAGAGAAAACACAAGTGATTTTGAATGAGATAAGAAAAAAAGAATAAAAAGTTTCCAAAGAGGACAACTATTGGCCCCCAAATTAAGCTTCCACAGAGGCAATTATCTATGAAAATAGATACTTAAATAGCTCACTAACAAAGTATTATCAGTAAGAGAAATGGCAATAAAGATGAATTAGGAGGGGGGGGAAAGAAATCTGGAATTTGCAAACTCACTGGGAAAATGGTTGGCATATAAATTGGGCAAAGAAAAATAAAATAAAACTTACCAGTCAAAAAGAGAACAGAAGAGAGGTCCTATTGGTCATTGCCTAGCAACATAGTAAACATTCCGATGAGTGACAGTTGGATGCAGCCTATAATAAGAGATTCGGCTGGCTTCCTTCTCTTTGGTGGAAACAGCATTTAGCTCAGTTGTGTCTGAATTTCACTCCTGAATCTCAGCCTTTTGGACCTGCTGACAACCTTGAACTGGACCTTGGACCAACTTTAGATGATTCTTGGAAGCTTCTCTTTGAAAAACATATTTTGCAGGCAAAGCTTCGCTTTGGTTGAGCTTCCTGGGGACATTTCTGTTACCTGATAAGGAAACCTGATATTCTCTTGCGGGACTAAAAGTTAATACAGGCAGCGTTTTGCCTGGGATTTTAGGCTGCATTATTAGCATTTTATTTATTTATTTATTTATTTAAAAAAATAGTCTTTATTAAATATTTACAATAAAATTAACACACAAAATAATGATTGAAAAGCAATATAGGAAGCGAAACATAGAAACATCTAAACACAGGACTAAACCAAACAACAGACAAGACTAACCGAGAGTTAAGCTCACTCTCCAATTAATATTAACTAGTATCATCCTAGCCAAACATTTCAATGCAATCAGGTTCTTTTTATTAACTGCAAAACAATTGGTCTGTTTTTATCAAAATTGTAAAGAGTTATAAAGCCTAGTAAATGTCTAGTTAATATAATTAAATGAACTTATCACCCTTCTCCTAAGTTTAACCTTTAGCATTTTAAAAGGTGATATTAGCACTTCTAATATGGCAGTCTGGATCTCTCTCTCTCTCTTTTTTTTAACTTTAAGGAAGTGTGTTTATCTCTCCTTAGCCAAGCCTGTTTCTTCTGATATGGGAGAACTGGCTTTCTCAGCAACTGCACAACAGAAAATTTCTTCTGGAAGACTTTTGGATACACCTGCAAGTATTAAGCAAGACAAAAATGAACCTGGAAAAGGGAGCATATAGACCATAAGTTTGCCACTTGTGGAATGCCATCTAAAATTGTTGTTTTCTGTTATTCAAGCTTCGCATTTAATTCAGCTCTTATGTCAAAAAGCCTAGAGATCAAACAATATCAGATATTTTGCATTTGTTTCCCTCAACTATACAAAGACTTGACACACAGTCACTGGTTATTTTAACTGTACCCAATTTGGTGGACTCGAGACACACAAGGGCCAACAACAACACAGGTCCCTAGACAAAACACACACACACACACACACTCCTCACGCTTTTCCACAGCTACTCCCACCTGCATTCCTCCTTGTGAGTATTGTTAGAGAAAAACACCCCTTTCTAATTGCTTTACTTCCACGCAAAAATACACACTTTCTTTCCCCACACCCTCAGTTGTTCCACAGCACAGCTTTTACTGGCAATTGTGCTGTGGTGTCCCTGGGGAGAGGCCTTGAAGGGACAGGACAAAAACAGCACAAGTGGTAGCAGCTTCCTGGGCAGAGGACTCTCCCTCTCACACACAGCCCTTCATGAAGGCTTTTTCCTTTGCCTGAATTTCTTGGTGTTTCCTATTTTCAGGTGGGCAAAGAAGCCCCTTTGCGAAAGGAAAAGGGTCTCTCTTAAATTCAGGGCCCTGAGTTCGTATCCCCTCCAGGCCAAAGTCGGAGTGCCGGAGTTTGGAGGCCACATCAGGGCCTGCCTCAAGAATCTCTAAGGGACGATGCAGAGTTACAAATGGGCTGCCTGCAGTCCCTAAAATGGTGGAAAGCTGCCTACAGTCGACTTAAAATGGCTGACGGCCAATGGCATCTGACTCAACATGGCAGATGGTGCTTCCTCCCATCTCAAGTTGACAAACCACCAGTCCCTCAGTGCCTCCAGGAGTGTCACAAAGTTGTGCATGCATTGACAGCCTGTTTTCAGCAGTTTGTGAAAGACTTGTGCAGTTTTAGCAGCTCTTCAACTCAAGGAAGGAGAAGGCAATTCAGCATGCTGAGTCCTGTCGTGTTCCCATTGTTCTCTATTTACGTTGCCTCCAAAGTGAAAACTCAGAAAAAGGAAAATTGTAATCTTAAAATCAACTAGTGGTGGTCTTTGGAAGGTGGAGGGAAGATGGCAGCACTTGGTGCCTTCTTAAATGTGTGGTGGGAAATAATATTCCCTTCTTGGCTATGAAAGCAATGCCTGTTTATCACCTCCCAAATAATAATATTGTGTGTTCTCTTCAATACAGTTGAATAAAAATAACATTACAGTGTTGACTTTTTCTTTTGTGTATTTAATATGTATTAGCCATTTTGTTGAGGGTAAAGCTTCCCTCTGCATAGTAGACAACGGACCGGACAGACTTTATCATTTAAAGTCACAAACATAGTTTTTTCTATATATTAACTACCCAACCGTAGGATGAATATCCAACACATTTCTTTGACAACAAACTTGTCTAATCAACAAAACCTAAAGTCAAAGTTTCATATTTTTTTTCTGTATCAAGCACAAAATGCAAAAGAAGTTTCCAAGTAGAAACAAAATCGGATGGATACTTGTTTTTGACTGAAGTAATTTATCTGGCTATTCTAGCTGCTTCCAACATGGATAACACTGAAGTTTCTTTTTTCACAAAGAAAAGTCATTTAAATTTAATATTCATTTTGAGACTCTTTTATATTAAAATATGAATCTTATTGTTAAAATTGTTAATATTATATTCATTTTGAGACTCTTTTGAATTAAAATATCAATCTTCATTTAATATTTTTAAAATGTGCAATATTTAACAAATCATTTTATTAATAATTGATAAGAAAGAAGGATTTGAGCTATGCTGAGCTGCTTCGGCCTGTCTCGCATTTGGCTCCTTTCCAAAATCCTGGCTCAGGAAGGAGCCCAGCATCTCATTTGCTAGGGATTCTCCTTTCCCACAAAGGCCAGATTCACGCAGCGGATGAAACTGAATCAGTCATGCACCTAAGAGATTCGTTTCCATAACCTTCTCACATTGGGTTACCTGCAACCTTGGTAAATTTTCCCTTCAGGAATTTGTAGTGTGTCTGGATTCCATTTGCACAAGACGCATAAACAACCAGTCAGCTAAAACAGACGAAGGTTACACCTGCTGTGGACCCAGAGAGAAAAGAGAGGATCTGAAGGGGAGGCTCATCCTGCAGACGGCCAGTTTCCAGGGACTCACCAGGAATTGGAAGCTCCCTCTAATGGCCTCGGCCTTCTTCATTGGTAGAAATACAGACGGGTGAAAGGAAGGCAGAAGGTCCCTCGGTTAGCCGGAGCCTCCATTGGGTTCTGTTTTCCCTGTCAGGCTGGAAGGAGGGAGGCGACTTTCATCTGTTTATTTCTGCAGAAATGGAGAGCCTGACCTTTGGGACAGAGGTCCAAATCTAGCATGCTGTGAAAAATACGGCTCAGATATTCACACAGAAAGTTTGTTATTTACAAGCAATCTATGTGAATTTTTTCACAGGATTAGTGTTCACATCTGGTCAATTACATCTGTCCTTTTGGGTACAAGATTACATTTGTTGTACTTAATACAAGAGAGCAAACACTTCCTATCCTATCATTGTCAGGAATTGCCTGTCGCAGGTCTGTAGTTTGTCTGTCTGTCTGTCTGTCTGTCTGTCTGTCTCACAAGGAAGTCAGCAAAGGTCAATCCCTTCTTCTCTGGGACAGCACTCCTCCCATTTCTTCGGTTCCATACCTAGCTCTCAATGGTTCCTCATGCCATTCAACCTTCCTTTATCATCTTCGTTGTTGAGTATTGAATGACAATTCAAATGGACCAATTAGAAGTGAGTAAAGAGAGCGGGAGATTTGGAGGAACGTCAATGGCTGAAGCCGTGGACAGCTCCCTTTAAAAAGGGGCTGCCGGGGCTAGGCAAACCATTGCTGTACTGGAGCTAATAAAGAGCTGTTACTGAAGTCCTGTGTCCTGTGTCCTTCCTGTGCCCGCTATTCAACATTCGTTGCTCCTCTCTGCCCTCTTTCCAGGGTCTCAGCATCTTTTTTGAATCCTGGAGACCAGAAGTGGATCCAGCATCCCAAGGGGGGCCTCACTAGTGCAGGATAAACCGGGATTTTCATTTCTCGGGTTCTCTCGATGTTGTTGTTCCTCTGTTGATACCAAGACTGTGTCGCTTTTTTGCCAGCTCCGCCTGATCCCCCACTGCGAGGGGCTGTGCGGGGTCTCCCCTCCCCCTCGCCTGCACCCCTCCCCCAGGCCTAGAGAATCCCCCCGCTTTTCCCAGCCCCCCCCCGTTCCTCCCCTCCCCCAAGAGGCTGAATGCCTGGAAGGGGATTTCCTGACGGAACCTTCGCTTTCCTTTTCCCTCCTCTCTCGCCGGTTGCGCCTAGCAACAATGACGACATGGGGGTTCTTTTTTTCTACTGGTCGAACTTGCCCAATCGCCGGCTTGCTCTGGATTGTTGCGCTGTTGATCACGCGGGGCGTGTCTTACTCTGCCTGCGACTTCAGTTGAGCGGAGCGCTGCTTGAGGATCGCGGCCAGGATGGCTCTGCGCTCTGCGCCCCTCTGGCTCCTGGTGCTGCTGGCGGTCACCCTACAGGAGAGCTGCGTTGGTGAGTCCCTTTGGGGCCTTTGGGGGTTCCAATCCCTTTTTCTTCCAGGGAATCAAAAAGGTTAATCCCAGAAATAGAATCCTGATTCGGTCCTCTTTCTAGTCCGCTCCCCCTCCCCCTCTGGCCACTGTTTGATTAGGTCCCAAAGCCTGGATGGGACACTCTGCTGCCTCTCCCCCAGGAGAGCCCCTCTGGGAACAGGACAAGGGTGGCCCCTCCAGATGTCAGTCAAGTCTATCTCAGCATCCCTAAGCACAGTTCTTTCCCTCCCCCAAAGTGGAGATTGTCAGAAAGTGGCGTTTGCACGTGATCAGGTCAGTTCCCCAACTTCCTTCGTGCCCACGCACAACCTCTCAGCCTGGATCCTCTTTCCTGCCTTTGAGGGCTTTGTGGCTCTTTCTGCCTTCTGGTGCTAGGATGACTTGGCTGGTTTCTCTAAATGGATCCGTGTCTTGGCAGATGCTGGTACAGTGGAGTGATGGGGCTAAAGTTGTCCTGTGAATACAGCAGGATCAGAGTCTATAGAGAAGCTCTTCTTAAACAATCTTCCTCAAGATCTCTCCTTCCTGATTGTCACTTTCTTCCGATCCCCACCATCACCCAATGGTCCTAAACCCAAAATACCCCCAGTGCTTTTTCCTGGGACAGGCAGAGATTTGCCTCCCAAGAGGTTCCTTCTTCCATGTCAGAAGCTCCCAATATGGAGAAGTTTGCAAAATCAAAAATATTTACAATGTGTTATTATTCTTTAGTAATCAGGAATTTGGGGTGTTCCTGGCTGTTTTCTCTGAGAAATTACCAATATAGCAACTTTTCAAAAGACATTTTAAAAAGTTGGCAGGAACTTAAGGATTAAATAAACTGGTTTGGAGGTAAAAGGAGAGAAGCATCTCTGGATGGTGACCATGAAACGAACCGCTTGCTTGGACACAGACAGGCCCAAACTCACCAGCTGTTCCGGACTGGAGGCACGTTCACCATTGTGAGGATGCCAAACCTATGCACACCTGTGTTATAGTCACACTTGTCATTTCTGACTTGAGGAGGATTCAGGATTGTGAGGACGCCCAACCTGAGTTACATGCACACGTTTCTTCTCTCAGGAAGACTTCAGACTTCCTCATTGCTCAGCCCCACAAGGGAAAGAAGCAGGTTCTGGATCACGGAGAGTCCGATCCCCTCTCCTTCTCTTAGAGAAAAGCTCTGATCCCTTTGGATTCTGAAATCTCCCCAGAGCAGGAAGTGGATCTGGGGCTCCCTCTGCCCAAAAGCTCTGAGAAGCCGCTGGGATTGTGGGGAGGAGCAGAAAGAAGGAGGCCCAGGCCTTTGCCTTGGACTGGGAAAGACTGGGAGACCATACTGGAGGGAATGGGCAGTGGGACTGTTTATTTCTCTGGGCTGTGCAAGTCCTTCCTTCTTCTGTGCAGACCCAGGTTCTGCCCAAATAAGTCCTGTGAATGAGTTTTAAAATCTTTGGTGTCCTGGAAGAATGTCTGTTCTGAAGAGCTTTCAGAATGGACACCCAGAAGTGGCCTTGGGGATTTTCCAGTTTAACCAATTTCCCAGAAGATTTGAAAAGTAGTCCTCAACCACAATTGAGCTCAACATTTCTGTTGTTAAGCGAGACGTTTGCTAAGTGAGTTTTGCCCCATTTTACGACTTTTTCAAACCAGTTAAGTGAATCACTGCAGTTCTTAAGTTGTTAAGTAAATTTGGCTTCCCATGGACTTTGCTTGCCAGAAAGTCACAAAGGGAGATCACGTGACCCAGGGACACTGCAACCGTCATAAATACGAGTCAGTTACCAAGCTACTGAATTCCGACCATGTGACCATGAGGATGCTGTAACAGCTCTAAGCGTGAAAAACAGTCATAAGGCACCTTTTATCAGTGCCGTTGTAACTTTGAATTCTCACTAAATGAACTGTTGTAACTAGTGTATTTTTCTTTTGTTCTTTCAACTCACTTAGAAGCTGTAATTTTCCTATTCCCTGGGCAGCCCTGGAGACATTTAAACTGTGATTTTAAGTGTTGTTTTTTTTGTACTTGTTAATAGAAGTTGAAGTTGTTTATGTCTTGTAAATTTAGCCCGTCTCCCATGGAAAGGTTGAAAACTCTTTGATGCTCCTGGGTCAAAGATTTCGTGATACTGTAGAAACAGCAATAGCCCTTAGACCAGTGATGGCTAACTTTTTTGTCCTTGTGTGCCAAAAGCGTGTGTGCGCACCCATAATGCAACGCATGCGCGACCCCCCACATGCCCTGCCCCCCACATGCGCACACGATGCCCCGTGCTCCCCCACCGCCACGCATGCGCACTGGCCCCCCACATGCAACCCATCCCCGTGCATGTGCGCACATATTCCACATGCATGCGTGACCACCCCATGATCCCCCCACGCATGCGTCCTGTCCCCCACGCATGTGCAGCAGACACTCAAAAACCAGCCGGAGGCGTGCGCACACACGTGGTAGATAGCTGAGCTGGGGCGACGGCTCTGCGTGCCACGTGTGGCACATGTGCCATAGGTTCACCATCACGGTCTTAGATTTACATACCGCTTCACAGTATTTTACAGCCCTCTCTAAGCAGTTTACAACATAATTGCCCCCAACAATTTGGGTCCTCAGTTTACCCACCTCAGAAGGATGGAAGGCTGAGTCAAGCTTGAGCCTGGTGAGATTCGAACTGCCAAATTGCAGGCAGCCAGCAGGCAGAAGTAGCCTGCAGTGCTGTATTCTAACCACTGCGCCACCACGGCTCTGAGGTAAAAATTTCACAAATAGAACTATTTGATTCACTAAAAGGGTCTCCAAATCCTCCCCAGTCTACACTCAGAGCTTAGGGCCTTAGGGGGATAATGTGAGCTGATCCCCCCCCCAAAGATGGGTGTTGGCAGCAGGAGCTCCCAAGGAGCCTCAGCTGGGCAGGGTGGTGGTGCCAGGATGGGGACACCCCATGGGTTTCTAGGAGTAAGGAGGGATTCCGGGAATTGAAGTCCACCCTGAAATCCAAGCGGCTGAGTTTGAGATGCTCTGATCTGGGCCTTTACAAGGAGAGTCGCTGATGGTGTGCAGAGTCGGATACCCCAGATCATCCTCTTCCCAGGATGGCTGAGGGGCCTTTCTGCTTTTCTTTGGGCTGCCAAAGCGCAGGATCAGCATCTAGAGAGGAGAACTTTCTGAGGACCTTCTGTGGAAAGTGAAGAAAGTGTTTGAGATCTAAAGTAAATCTGTTGTGAATGATGGGACATTGGGCTGCTGAAATGAAGCAATCTTGGGATAATCCCAGTGGGGTTTTCTGTGGAATGGGGGTGAGCCCTGCTATGTCCTGGGTTCAAAGCCTATTTCCTGCTCAAATGGCTGAACTCCGGGATGGGAGGGGGAATTTTCCAGAAGGGGAAAGCAGGGAGACGGGAGGGGGAGGCTGCGTGACTTCATTTTCCCTCCCTTCCCTCCCCCTTTGACTGCCCACGTCTCCCTGGCAATCGGTTTGGGTTTCCCATGGTCTCTGGTCTCACCCGGATCCCTCCTTCTCTAGGCCCTGCCCCCATTTTATAAAGTCTCCATTAAAATCTGCACCTATTAACAATCCATGTTGGCCCTCCATGAGGTGAAAACATTTTTTCCCCGTAACTGGAAAGTTGGGGTTTCCTGCTGCTTTGGGGCTTCTGGTCTACAATCCCCCCCTTTCTCCCCGTTGGGTGACAGCAGCCTCCTTGGGGCAGAGTTTGAGCTGCCCAGAGGAGGGTTTGAGGGAGGCTGTGCTGGGAGGGGAGTGGGCACAATTTCAGGGGCAGGTAGGGTTTGGGGCAGGGGTGGGTTCTACTTACCTTTACTACTGGTTTGCATCATGCCCCCAACACACTCTTCTGCGCATGCGCAGATCGCCTATGATGACGTCCGGGTCAGAGGGCGGAGCCTCCCACCAGTTTTACTACCAGTTCGTGTGAACCGGTCCAAACCAGGGGCAACCCACCACTGGTTTGGGGTTCCTGCTGCCCCTCTGGTCCTGCTTTCTCTTCCCTCCGTCACCCCAACTTTCTTGCCCTCTAAGAGCTGCTTTTTTTTGTCTCTCACTTGTTTCCTCTTTCTATCCCATCTTTCATCATTTCCCCCTTCTTCCTCTGCCCCACAGTTCTCTTCTTCCTCCTTCTTCCTCCCTGGGATCAGGGTCCCTCAGCTGAAGCCCCCTAACTCTGCCCCTGTGGGTTTCTTCCAGGTTCCTCTTTGCACTCCCTCAAACATTTCCACATCACCACCTCGGACCCCAGTCAGGGGCTGTTCCATTTTGTCTCTTTGGGGTACGTGGACGGCCAACTCTTCACTTCCTATGACAGCAACAGCCGGAGGGTGAAGCCTCGAGTCTCCTGGGTAGAGAAGGTGGGGAAGGACGACCCCCAATACTGGGACACCCAGAGCCAGATAGGACACAGCAATGAGGAATTGTCCAGAGATGACCTGCAGACTCTGAGGAGTCGATACAACCAGAGCAAAGGTGAGTGATGGGTCGGGTGGTGCCTCCTGCCCCAGATTCTCCCCCAAGAGCAGGAGTGGGGAGAAAGGGGGTCCCTCCAAGGGGAAAAACTGCTTCCACACTTTTTACGTTTATTGTGCTTTTAAATTAATATAAGGTTATCCTTGTCCCCATAACTGAGGTTTTCTGCAGATTACTAAAAAACATTTTCAGTTTGCGTGTGTGTGTGTGTGTAATGAGATTAAAGGAAGTAAAAAGCAAACCAAAATCTCCTTCCCTTGACTCTTCCCCCAAGAAAAGTGGAGGTCCTGGCCTTGGAGTCCATCCAGCTGTGGGGAAGAAGGGAATCTACAGGTCTCTACCTCCCATCGCCTAAGCAGTTGATGCTAAGAGGACGCTGATGAAAGCTGTTTTTTTTTAATTTAACTTAATTATTTATTAAATTTGAATGCCCCCCCATCCCTCTTTCTGACGTGACTTGCCCTTCCACCTCTTTCATCCATGACCAAAGCTGATGATTCTCCAGAAGCCAAAGAGTTCCCTCCGTCTTGTCAGCGTTCAGTTCTACAGGTTTCTCTCCACCCCCACCCCCAAGTAAGTGGATCCTAAGAAGATCTTGATGGAAACTGGTTCTTGTCCTTTTGACTTATTCCACCCTGGAGAAATGAGGGATCAAGTGGGGATCTGTTAGAGTTTGCAGCAATCCAACCAGCACACAAATAAATAATTCAACAGGATTCATTTAAATGAGAAACTTCTTTATATACAATACCATACAAAAGAAGCCAGAACCAGAACTCAGAATCCAGAAGTACAGAATACAAAATCAGGATCACAGAAACACTGAAGCAATATTCACAGAAGCAAGATATACCTTCCCTCCCCTTTTCATTTGGGGCCCTCCTTGAGCCAGTTGGTCCCCTCTGCCTGAACTCTTGCATTGCCATCTGTTTCCCATAAGGAGGGAGCCCTTCTTCAGCAGCCCCCCCCTTCTGCCATTTTGGGGGGCATAACACCTCCTTCAAAGGAACCTTATTTAGGGAGGGACTGCAAGGAAATGTGTGTGTAACTAAACACTGCTTTTGGCCGAGGTAAACCTTCTCCACAAACATCTGTCATTTCCCCTCCTTTCTTCACAAGGAGGTTGCAGCCCCCTTCTTCTGCCCTTTCCTTGCCTGCCCCCTCCAGGCAGACCCCAGAGCTCTGCCACTTCTGCCCAGATCCCTGAGGGTCTCCCCAGATCCCTCCAGGCCCCCTGCTGGCCTCCCAGGGGAGCAGAGCTGGACCCAGAGGGCTCCCCCTGGTGGAGAAAGGAGGAAGGAGACCGGCCAGAGTGGAGGGGAGCCTCCTTTCCAGGCTCAACAGCCCCAAATGTCCCAACCTTTCCTCAAAGGGAGGCTGCTTCCTCCCTCCCATCGCCTGAGTCGCCTCCTCTGGACCTTCTCGGGCTCCCTCCTCTCCTTTCGGAGGTCTTTTGACCAGAAACTGCAGACAATATTCCAGATGTGGTTGCACCTTTGATTTATATAAAGGCTTTATGACATTAGCCTCTGTGGTTTCAGAATCATTTTAATGATCCCTGACATCCTGTTCGCCTTTTAAATTTTTTAATATAATTTTTATTAAACCTTTCCAGCAAAAGATAAAAACTAATAGAAATTAATGTAAAGCGAAGGTGATAAAAGAAAGAAATCAAAGAAAAATAAAAAAGTACAAGAACACAAAACAAATGGAACAAAATAAAGAAAAAAGACACAAAGAAGTGGCTTCTGATATTCTTCGCAGTATATTTTAGCCTCTCTAAAGCAGCTTTTCTTAACCTTTTGACCCTGCTGGAACCCTTGAACTATTTTTCAGACCTCAGGAAACCCCTGAACATCTCTAGGCTCGGAGATAGGCAGAAATTGTTCCATCCATAAACCCCGTAGAGATGCATTAATAGTGTTCTTACACTAAACATCAAAAATGAAGCTTGTCTTTTCAATGTGACCCCTGTGCTTTCTTTTTGCAGCACAGATATTCAATTATGTGCCAAAAGTGAGATGAACACACACAGATTTCATCTTTAACTGAAATAAGACAATTTCTGTCTTACCTTTTGATGCTTCTGAAATAAGACAGAATTTGTTCTCGGAAGTTGAAAACTGCAGCCAAATATTTAGTGTCGTCCTGTGAATGGCAGGAGAATCTTCTTGGGCAGAAATCCAGAACCTTTTTTTCCCATGGGGAGATCAGGGAATCTCCTCTCAAGGGCAGGATCAGATTGCAGCTCCCGAGGATCTTCCTCTTCCTCCAAAGGGAAGTTTTCTGGCTGAGCAGAAGATGCAGAGAAAGGATCCTTCACCCGTCATTCCTGGGTGTGGAAAGGGAGGGAAAGGACTGGTCAGTTTAGTTCAACTCTACTTCCAGGGGGTTTTCCCTTAGATTCGAGAGTTTCTGGCGTCCTTCCTCCCTCTCAAGCCCAAACAGGAGTAGAAACATTTCAAGATTTCTTTTTGGTTTTTTCAAACATTCAGTTTTCTTTTAAATCCAAGAATTTGGTCACTTGAAGTTGAAATATCTTCTCCAGGGCCTTGCAGAGTCTGTGAACTTCAAGCTCATGTCAAAGGTCAATAACCCTTTGGGTCTCCAGATGAGACTGGGCCACTTGCTGCTGTTGCTAAGGAAAATATTCCTTTGTGGCCCTTTGAGGTTTCATTCCCTCTTTGCACTAAACCATGGTTTGTTTCTGGTTAGCCCAAAGAAGGAGCCAGTCCTTGGGATTTGGTTTTATTTGTGAACACAGAGCATGATTTATGGTCGCAGGGATCCGTGCAAGCTTTTTCAAGATCTACCAGATTCTCTTTGAGGCCACAAGATTCTCAGTCCCTCTTTGCACCCACAGATTCAGGCAACTGTTTCCTCTCTGGGATCCCTTCCTTTCTCCCCCAGAGTCTCGCCAGGAGAAGAGGAGCTCCAGAAAGAAAGATGGAAGGGTCTCCATCCCTGTGTTTGACTCCTTCTTTTCTCGGTCTCCCTTGGGATCCTCTGCTGGCTTCTCCAGCTTCCCTTTTTCCTGGGGAGGTTCAGGGGCTCCATCCTGGGAGGGAAAATATAGGGAGGCGGGTCGAGGGAGGGGAGAAGGGCAGCTTCCCTTCCCTCTACCCCATGGAGAAAATGGGGGTGTCAGTTCCTGTGCCAAAATCCCTGTAGGGAAGGGGTTTCTGTCTATGTTCAGGACTTCCCAAACCATCCTCCTGTCCATCTTTTAGGCCTGCACACGTGGCAGCGGATGTATGGCTGTGAGCTCCAGAGTGACGGGAGCAAAGGAGGGTTTCACCAGTATGGTTACGAAGGGAGGACCTTCCTCACCTTCGACAAGGAGACCCTCACCTGGGTGGCTTCTGACCCCCAGGCCCAGATCACCCAGAGGAAATGGGATGCTCTTCCAGGATGGAATCACAGAAAGAAAGCCTACCTGGAGGAAATCTGCATTGAGTGGCTGGAGAAGTTCTTGTCCTACGGGAAGGAGATGCTGCTGAGGACAGGTGAGCATCTGAATGCAGACTGGACTTTCCTCCTTTATGGCCGGATCTCTTGTGCACATTCAGCCCCTTTGGGTCCCTGGTCTGGAGCCTGTTTGCCCTGGTGGGAATCCTCCCCCCCACTTTCAGCCCCACTCCAAGACATGGGAAGCCCCGTTTGGTTCTCATTGCCAGGCAGCCATTCAATGGACCAGGAAATGCAGCCTCTGCCTGGCAGCTGTCTGGGTGATTCAGGCAGCAGAAGCACTTAAGGGTGCCCTGTTCACCCCCACAATGAGGCAACCATTTGGGGCTATTCAATGAAACCCCCATTAGCCAAATTAGTCGAGAGTGGTGGGCACCCTTAATTTCTCCCATTAACTCTGCTTCTCCCCAGATCCCACAGGGGGCTCCCTCCCCGTCTTGCACCTGATGGTGCACCTCCCATGCTCACCACTTGGGGGCTCCACTTCTACCATTAATAAGATGTTATCAGTGCCTCCACTTGGGCAAAAAAAGGCCCTGGATGAGGGGTCCTTTTTTTTCCGGGGGTGGGTGGGGGTGGGCGGACAGGGAGCGGAGCAAAGTTTCTGTGAATCTTTCTCTTAAACCTCAAACCGGTTCCCACAATTCTGACTTAGTGAGTCTTTCCTCAAAACAAGCCCCCTCCCCACCTTCAGGAACACCCCCTCGTGCCCCAGGGGGGCTCACATTATAATCTTTTCCTAGAAGTTTTTTTTAATTAATTTACCATCTAGACCCCCCCCCACTCCCTCTGCCCTGTGTCTACCCCTTCCTCTCTGGGGTCCTTGATCCTTCCAGGATCAGATGGATGAGATTAGGATCAATGGGAAAATCCACCCCGCCCCCCGCCCCCCTCTGATGATTGCCAACACCCCTCCCTGCCGGGGAGGACCCTCTCTTTTCCATTGGCAACTCTCTCTGCCCTCCCCCCTCCCTTTTCAGGGACAAAATCTATTTCCAAATTGATCAGGGTGAGATTTCCTTTGATCTCTCTTCCTCTTAAAATTGTGGTTGTATCCCTTGGAAAGAGGCCTGGAGGAGCCTCAGATTCAGGGGAGCAGAAGAGGATGCAAAAAGTAGGGAGAATCTTCTGTGTTGTTGTCCTGAAAGGGAACTTAAGAGACCATCTTCACTATCCCTCCCCTGAAGAGAGCAGCCCAAGATCAGTCAAGGAGGTTTTTCAGGCTGAGTCCCTGGGAAGGACTCAAAATCAGGATTGTGCTGTTTAGGTAGTAGATTAGTTATTTGAAGAAGTAAGAGCTGTCTGTCTCCTTAAGAGATTGCATTGTGGGAGATGTAGACCTCTAGAGATTGCATTATGGGAAATGTAATCCATGATATGTAACCACATCTGTGTGTCTGATTGGCCACTGAAGCTCTCTGCCTGGGTTATGAACTGCCACGGAGGAGAGAAACATGCTTTCTGAACAGGAGGACAGATCTACCGTCCTTTTACACTAGGAAATGGTACAGATTATGAATATACGGATGAATCTCACCTTGACTGTAAATCTCTGAGGATGCCCGATAATAAACTTGATCTGTATGAAAACTGTTTGCTAGAGTTTAACTGCCTGTTCCCATGGACGCCAGATGCCTGGAAATGGTACAAGGAGTCCTTGTGGTTGAGCATTTTCCAGATTTGGAACAGATTGTAAAACTCTAGGAAATGCTGCAGGTGTGCAGTATAAATCCGTGGGTTTAAGTAGTGGGAGATTTTCCTGCCCCTTCAAGTTTCTCACCCACCTCTGGAGGGACTCAGAGTTAATTCTGGTTTCTGCAGAGCCCCCAGTGGTGACAATGATCAGCAGGATGGAGGAGGAGGATGGGATGGAGATGCATGTCTGCCAGGTCCACGGCTTCTACCCCAGGGAGATCGATGTCTCCTGGACGAGGGACGGGGAGGTCTGGCTGGAGGACACCAACCACGGGTTTCTGGCCCCCAACGCGGATGGGACCTACCACTACTGGCTCAGCATCCGGATCGATCCCAAAGAGAGGGGCCGCTATCGGTGCCACATGGAGCACGAGAGCCTGCAGGAGCCTCTGGACTTGGAACTGAAGGGTGAGAGGCTGCAGGGAGGGGAAGTCTGGGCTCTTTGGCAGGCTGGAGGGTTGTGGGAGAGAAATCTGACCCCAGCTGTGTCCAGATGTGAGCATACCTGAATTTTAAGACATTGGTTTTTCCAGTGTTTGAGATTGGTGAAACTGCAGGGACCCAACCATAGAACTGAGTTCAGGTGATATAAAGGAAACTACAGAATCCCATCACAATACTTGGATGATCCTGATGAAATGCCCTTAGATCCTCTCTTAGGCCTTCCCTGTTTCTTGCCCCCAGCAGAAAAGCAGCAGTTCCTCTGAGCACCAGAAATAGATGTGCTTTTGTTTACAATTCCTAAAGTACAAGAATCAGGAGGTGTCTGGTAGCCCCTTTTCTTTTTTTTTAAATTAAATTTAATTTTATTGAAAAGACAGTGCCATGTCAGGATAACAATGCAAATAAAGCAAAGCCAGAGAGAGATCAATGGTAAATCTTAACATATATGCTAATAACTATAACTGTACTATGTTAACAGTAATAGCAAGAATACAACAACAAAAAAAGGAAATAAAAAACTTCAACTAAGTTTCTACTTACATTAGCTTATTTACAAATTTTTCCATATTACAATTTCAATTTCAATTTAATTCAATTTATATGCCGCCCCTCTCCGAAGACTCATATATTATATCCATAGTTTTATACATCTTTGTTGTACTGACATTCATAAACTTCCCTCTCATTTCTACCTCTTGTCTCTATCCATTCATAAAATTTATTGCATGTCCTGTAATATTTCGAGTCTTCTTTATCTTTAATTTTTAAAGTTAATCTGTCCATTTCAGCACAATCCCCAATTTTCCTAATTATATCATCATCCGGTGAGGTGTGCACATTTTTCCAATATTTAGCATATGTAATTCTAGCTGCCGTCAATATATGTACCACTAAGTAAATGGTTGCTTTGTCATAAGTTTCCGACAATATACCTGGACTTTGAAGGTGGCCAGTTTTGCAGAAATGGCGAAGGTATCAGCATACTTAAAAGACCGGACTCTAGAGACTTATGCATGGGAGTGGAAGAAATGGATAGATTATGTGCAGAATAAATACCAAACTAGGAAGTATCAGATAGCTTTTAGTTGAATGTTGTGTAGAAATGTATAGTATATAGGGGGTAGAATAGTTCAATGTTATGTAGAAATGTATAGTACACAGGGGGGAGATTAGAAGGGCGGTAAAGTATGATATAATATGATGTGGATATGGATTTCACCTTGGGGAAGTCATGGGAGGAGGGGAGGGCTAGGGAGGGTTAGGGAAGGAAAGGGGGGGAATGGGAAATTTTGTATTTGTAAAACTTTTTCAATAAAAAAAGAAAAGAAGGACTAGGAGTGACATGATATGTTCCAATGTCTCAGGGGCTGCCACAAAGAAGAGGGAGTCCAGCTATTCTCCAAAGCACCTGAGGGCAGGACAAGAAGCAATGGGTGGAAACTAAACAAGGAAAGAAGCAGATAAATTTCCTGACAGGGAGAACAATTCATCAGTGGAAGGACTTTCCTTCAGAGGTTGTGGCTGCTCCATCACTGGAAGTATTTAAGAAGAGACTGGAGAGCCACTTGTCTGGAAGGGTATAGGGTTTCCTGCTTGAGCAGGGGGTTGGACTCCCTCCAAGGTCCCTTCCAACCCTGTTATTCCCTTATTCTATTTCTGCCATTTGTGAGACCATCCATATTCCATTTTTCATGCTGAAGTTGTGGAAGCACAAAATACAATTTTATGCTATTTTTGAACTGGCCAAAGAAATGAAAGTGTGTACTTAAAAAAAAGATCTAGGTGATATGAACTATTTTACTTTAAATAATAAAATGCAAACACTCAAACTGAAGGAAAAAGCATAGAGATCTTCCCAATTCCACTCAGAATCATGGCTTATTGGGGCAGCCTATAAAAGGAACAAAAATGTTTTTGTTTAACAAATTTTGTTTACATTATTGTGTTGGTGAAGTTTTTGTTTTGAAAGCTGCTAAGAATCTCAAGATGGCAAAGGGCTGTTTTTGAGTCAAAATATGAATTCAGTTGCCTTCATGCTGGGCTGGTGTAAGAAGGAGGAAGCATCATGCGGACACGTCCCCTAACAATGGTTAGCAAGGCGCCTTCATGCTACCTTCAGGAGGACAGAAAAATGAGCCCATGGAGTTTTTAATTTGGGGTATTTCCAGCTTTCACTTCTTTAGGCCTCTTCCCTGATTGGGAGGATTGTTTGGGGTTCTCTGTCAATGATCTGCTCTTTCCCCCAATTCAGAACCAAAATCCAACATGGGCCTCATCATTGGCTGCGTTGTGGCTGCTCTTTCCCTGATGTGTGTGATTGTTGGGACTTTGATATTCTTCAGTAAGTATCTTTGGGGGGGTGGGAGTGATGGAAGGAAGATGGGGAGATTTCTCCCAAATCTCTCCCTTTGGGGAGATTCTTCTGGGCTTCCTTCTCTCCTGTTTTCCCAGCCCTCTTGGGGAGCATCTGAGATCTCAGCCTCTTGCTGGGACTCCAGTCTGGATTCAGCTGAGTCTGAGATTCAGGCAATCCTGTCTTCTTCTGAGTTGGGAAGAGGCATCCCAGTTCTGTCCCTTTCAAAGGCCTTGATCAAAGGATTTTTGTGAGCTTTCACTTATTTTTATCCTTGCAGAGAGACGTCAAGATGGCTACAATGCAGCACCCAGTGAGTGTGTTTACACTTGTGTTTACATGTAATCTCCAATTTAGAGCAGGGACCAGGGGCACCATTAGTTGGGAGGGGTGTGATTATGTATGTATGTGTGTGTGTGCTATCTTCCTCTTTATCCTACGAACTAGGCTGGGGAAGATGGGCCCCCTTTTCATTACAGCCAAGTGGAGAGAGAGAGAGAAGGAAGGAGGGAGAGAGAGAGAGAGAGAGAGAGAGAGAGAGAGAGAGAGAGAGAGAGAGAGATTGAACAGCTCAGTTCCCTCTGTGTCTGCTTCTGGTGGAATAATTAAAATAATTGCACCCACTTTGGCTTAGTGGTGGGGCCACTAAGTTCTAGAGACCATGAGTTCTAGTCCCACCTTAGGCATGAATGTCACAAAATCCACTTTCCTTGCACTGGTTCATCCTGCAGAGGAGAAGGGAAACTCTCCCTGTGGGATTCAGGCAGGGGAGGCAGCCCAGAGTCTGCATGGTGGATCCTGGCCCCCTTTGGAGGAAATTGCCTCCAATTCTTTGAGGGGAAATAGGGAAACCACCATGATCCCCAGTGGTTAGAGACTCTTCTGCTGGCATAGCTGAGACCTGGCTGACTCTGGGAGGGGAGGGGGGTTCCCTCTGTCAGAGAGGTGCCCAGTGGGTTTAATGTTTGGCCCCAACCGATACCCCAGGGCAGGGGAAGTGGGGTGCAGTGCTCATCTGAGAATCTTTGTTGGCACTCAGGTGCCTTTGCTCCCCAGGTTTCTGGTTGTGACTCCCCGTTTCTGACTCTGGGCTCACTGGATCAGTCGGGCTTGTTGCTACATACCAGCCTCCCTGCTGCATGGCCACCTCCCTGCCTCAGCTGCTGGGGGCCACCTCAGGGTTGGCATGGACTTGCCCAGGATTATGGTCCTGGGAGACTTCAATCTGCCACCCCTGGGTTTGGCCTCGGAAGCAGCCCAGGGGTTCATGGCCTCCATGGCAGACATGGGCCTCTCCCAGACCATCCTGGACCCATCTCAAGACAGTGGTCCATAAACTCCGGATGTGACCTTCTTGTCAGACAAAGGCCACATGATCTGATGGGGGAATCTGGTTTTTATTTATTGTTTTAAATAGTCTACATGGCATTTTATTGAATTTTACCTGGGCGAGACGGGTAACACAGAAGAAGTTTAATGATAAATAAATAAGTAAGTAAGTAAGTAAGTAAAAGTAAGTAAGTAAGTTAGTAAGTAGTCTGACGTCCTCTGAGAAGTTCATGAAGCTGCAGAGGTTGAATGGTGAAGGGAGAGATTTGTGGAGGATCCAGACAAGGCAGAGACTCACTCGGCGTCTTTCTCTCCAATGCAGGAAGCAACCAGGTCATTTAGCTGCCCCCTCGCAGGTGAGTTTCCCCCTCTGGAGGCTGCATGGGGGGAGAGGGAGGAAGGGAGGGGGGGCCTTGACGTCAAATGACCAGTGGATGAGGAACATAGATTGGGAAATTCCTCTTCTCTCTCCTGTTCATCTCAACCACTGCAAGGGGAGGAATTGAGGGGGGTGGGATTGGGACTATGGGGAGGGGTCTGCCTGCCCCCAAACTCTTATCCAGCAAGGCCAGACTGTGGCCAGAGCCCTCTCAGGATCTGACTGTCTTGGGTCAGGAGGCTCAGAGACCTGCAAAGAGGAGATCAGAGGGTTCCCACTGCCAGGAGGGAAAGAGGGACTTATTGAGGATCCTGCAGTCATGGGTGGAGAAGAGGCTTCTCTCCCCTCTTTGATCCCACCTGGGAATCCCTCCCTCCAGGTGCTGAAAGGAAGACTCTCTGGAGGCCATGAAACCATTTGCCTCTGGACTAAAATTGGATTTGTGTATGTGAGGGGGGGATATTGATACGTGTTATATAACTTGTGGGGCAGGTTCTCACCCACCTCTGAGCCAGTCCCAGCCCTGCCCCTCCCCCTCATGCAACTCTGGAGATCCCACCAGGCTGATCCCTCTCTTGAGCTGCTCTTTCCCTGGGCTGATCTTTGCGGATCCCTCAGCCTGGACTATGTGATCCTTCCTCTGGGCTCCCTCCCAGACTGACCCTGCCTGCTTTTTCCCTCCTCTTGGCAGAAGGAGTGGACGCTCCCAGCATGAGGAGAGAGGAGAGAAGATGGGATCGACCTTCCTCTGAATTAGGCCGGACTCTCAGGAGGAGCCTTCAGGGCCTCCCAACATGCAGGAACCCGGATGTATTTTGGGTCTTTCGTGATGGCTTTTATCATTGAATCTGTAACCGTTTTTATTTTAATTGAGGAAGCGAAGAAGAAAGAAAATCTTACGTGTTTATAATTGTGGGATCAAAAGGACTCAACTTGGGTTTAGTAGATATTTTTTTTATTTATTTGTATCCTGCCGAAGGTATCAAAGATACCCAACACACCTTCCTCCTCCTCCTCTTTTCCCCACAACGACAACCCTGTGAGGTGAGCTGGGCTGAGAGGGAGGGACTGGCCCAAGGTCACCCAGCTGGCTTCCATGGCTGACGCAGGACTTGAACTCACGGTCCCTTTCTAGCTTGGTGCCTTAACCACTAGGAAAAACTGCCTTGTATAGCTTGTAATGGCTCTCTAATAGAGCTTGATGCAACCATGTTGTTATTTCCGATGACCTTTAATGGTTTCAGAGAAGGGTTCCTGGAGAATGGGGGGAGGAGAAGGATGAAGAGTTGTTGCTGTTATTTTAAGGGATAAGTTATGAATCTTCATCATCCTTGCTTGGGTTGAAAGGGGAGATTTGTTCCTATCTCTTTATTTTATTTTTTTTATTAGTTGAATAATAGATAGTATTCATAATGCAGGCCTGTCAAACAGGCGGCCGTGGGCCGGATAAGTCACGCGCAGGCCACGCCCACCCTGGCTCAGCAAAGGCAAGAGAGTCGCGATACGTCACAATCCGGCCCATGACTTGAGTTTGACACCCCTGGTATAATCTGTAATAGAATCTGGGGGGAAAAAATTCTTTTAAAAAAGAAGTGTGCCTTCTGAGATTTATGCCATTCAAGTAGTTAATGTATTTCAATTTTTTTTTAAATTAAACTTGACCATAGTATTTCATCATCCAAAGTTTGACAAATAATTAATATACCCAAGTATACCATTCAAACACTAAATTTTTGCAGATCGTCATTTCTGGATTTTCATGCTTTAGAAAACTGTTATTGATTATTAAATTGATTACATGAGATCAATTGCACAGCCGGGCTGCTACCTCCTTAAGTATTGTACATATCTTGTAAAGTTTGCCAAAACTGTTGGCCGAAAATAAATGCTTTTGCTTTCTTCCCACTTGAGTTGCTGCCTGTTTTGGGAGGTTGAAGAAAGGAGGGAATTTACCCTCCTTGTTGATCAGAGACTCCAATTCCACTTTGAGTGGTAAGAGGGGGAGGAACCAAGGCAAAACCTGGAAGGAGCAAGAACTGAGGGGTTTCCTGTGTGCTCCTTTGGGGAAGAGGCAGCCATTTTGTTCCTGTGTCCAGAGGTTTAGCATCACCAGCTGATCTTCCGTAAAATGGCCATTTGGTCTTGGCTTGGTGGTGGCAGCAACAGAGGCTGCTTTTCCCTCAAATCCACCTTTGCCTCAGGCTGTTGGCCAAATGGCTGATCTCTGAGCCTCAACCGGTGGCATGTTGGGAGACAGGAGTTCAGTGACCGGCCAGAGCCATCTTGGTCCCCTTGCAGAAGGGCAGCTTCTCCTCTTCTGAGAGATCCTCTCTGGGCTCTTCAGGCACCCAATATGGCCCAAGAGTGGGGAGACCCTTGACTGATGGGAAAGAAGTCCCCATGTCACAGCGGTTCTTTCTGGCAAAGAGGAGTGAAAATCATTGGAACTTTCACCCCAATTCCTTTTGGGCTTCCCAGATGCCTTCAAGAGCTGGCCTTCTTTGAGAGCCTAAAATGTAGACTTCAGGTGTGCCCAATCTGTGGCTCATAGACCACATTCAGCCTTTGAAAGCTAGTAATGTGGCCCCGCAAAACCTTTGATATTATAATAAGAAATAGACAATTCCTTTTCATTCAATGCTGCCCAGGCAAGCCGAAAGGTTGGACACGGCTGCTTTAAAGCATTTTGTGAGGATTCAAATGAGCGTCTTTTACTGATTGGAAAGTTTTTTAGAAATGTGTTTTAATTATTAGACATCTACGACTGGCCAGCTCACAAAAGCTGTTTGGGCCAACACAATAAAAAAAATACAGTATAAGTAGAAGAACAGGAGACCATAAATACAATACACAAAAGTCAACTGAGCACCAAGACTTTGGGAGCTGCTGATGACCTTGAGCTGGCTCTTGGACCGTGGACCAACTAAACAACTCTTTTGAATGCTCTTCTTTTAAATAAACACACACTCACACTTGGAAGGCAAGGCTTTACTTTGGTTGAGGTTCCTGGGGACATTGCTAATTCCATGACCTGAAAATCAAACTGATACTATAGGACTACAATTAATTACAGCCAGGGCTTCCTGGGATTTTAAGCTTCATTATTAGCATTTTAAAAGGGGATATTTGTGCTTTTAACTAGAGAGGCTGGGTCTCTTTTTTTTTTAACTTTAAGGAAGCATAATGTCTATGGAGATTCTCAGTCATCCAGGTCATGGTTGTCCCAAAGGTGCTTTTTCAAGAGGCAGCTGGACTTTCTGTTTTTTCTTTGAAGATGTTTTGCTTCTCACCTAAGAAGCTTCTTCAGCTCTGACTGGATGGTGGGGAATGGAAGGATTTGGAAGGAGAAAGTGGAAGGAGGGTTATGACATCATCTATCTCCAATCTACAACACAGTCCTTTCAACAGTTCCAAGAAGGCGCCACACCCATTTGCACCACTCAGGTGAGCCTGATGACACACAGATAAATCTCCAGGTGACCTTAAGAACTCAGTAGAAGAATGCAAATGTCCAGCTCTCTGCAAGGAGTTTAAATCCTTCCATTCCCCATCATCCAGTCAGAGCTGAAGAAGCTTCTTGGATGAGAAGCAAAATGTCTTCAAAGAAAAACCAGAAAGTCCTGTTTAAGGAAGCAGGTTTTGGTCTTCTTAGCCAAGGCCGTTTCTTTTGGTATCTGGGAACTTTCTTCCTCAGCAACTACACAACAGAAAATGTCTTCTGGAAGCCCTTGGATACACTTGCAAGCATTAGGCAAGATACAAATTCCTCTGGAAAAGGGAGGATGTAGACCATACAGTTTGCCCCTTGTGGAATGCCCTCTAGAAACATTGTTTTCTATTGTTCAAGTTTTGCATTTAATCCCTCTCTTTTTTTTACTGTAAAAGTTTTTTATTTTCTAAGACAAACAAACATTTCATACATCAATCATCCCTCCCCTGTGGCATCTCGGGGTATCTTCTTCCATTCTTTTTGTTCTTCTTGTTCCAGAAGTTTCTTCTCTCTTAATCGTCATCCAAACTACTATAACCGTTCATTCCTATAACCATATTCCTATCATCAAATTTTTACACCTAATTATAAAATTAATCATTTATATCTCTTTTCCAACCAACAATAAAAATAATTGTATAATAAGTAGGAGGTTGGACTAGATGACCTCCAAGGTCCTGTTATTCTGTAAGAGCCAACAATAACACAGGTCCCTAGGCAACACACACACACACACACACACACTGCTCACACTTTTCCACATCTACCCCCACCTGCATTCCTCATTGTGAGTTCTGCTACAGAAAAACACCCCTTTCTAACCGCTTTACTTCCACACAAAAATACACACCTTCTTTCCCCACACCCTCAGTTCTTCCACAGCACAACTTTTACTGGCCATTTTGTTGTACTCTTCCTGGGGAGAGGCCTTGAAGAGACAGGAGGAAAACAGCACAGCTGGTAGCAACGTTCTGGACAGACGCCTCTCTCTCACCCACAGCCCTTAAGGTCCCAAAGTGATACCTGCATTTGCAGCCTCTTCTCAGTGGTTCGTGAAATCCTTGTGCAGCTTCAGCAGCTCCTCGGCTCAAGGAAGGAGAAAGCGATTCAGCATGTTGAGTCCCGTCGCGTTCCCATTGTTCTCTATTTACGTTGCCTCCAAAGGGAAAATTCAGAAAAAAGAAAAACGTTATCTTAAAATCAACTACGTCCCTTTTTAGTCAGTGGTGGTCTTTGGAAGGTGGAAGGAGGATGGCAGCACTCTTTGCCTCCTTAGCTGAAATGGTAGATATGGAATGGGAGACAATATATACCTTCTTGGCTATGAAAGCAATGCCAGGTCTTTCTTTATCATCTCCCAAATAATAAAATTGTGTGTTCTTTTCAACACAGTTGAATAAAAATAATAACATTACAGCCTCAACCTTTTACTTTTCCAAACTTAATACGTATTAGCCAAAGGCTGTCCTGAGCTGCTTCGGCCTGTCTCCTGGCATTTGGCTCCTTTCCAAAATCCTGGCTCAGGAAGCAGCCCAGAGTCTCTTTTGCCAGGGATTCTCCAGACGCACAAAGGCCGGATTCACACAGGAGATGTAACTGGGTCAGTCATGCACCTAAGAGATTCGTTTCCATGACCTTCTCACATTGGGTTTCCTGCAACCTTGGTGAATTTTCCCTTCTATGACTTGTGTGCATTGTGTGTGGATCCCATTTGCAGGAGATGCTGCACCATAAACCGTCCAGTCAGTTAAGACAGAGGAAGGTTACGCCTGCTGGGAACCCAGAGAGAAAAGGGAGGACCTGAAGGGGAGTCTCATCCTGCAGACGGCCAGTTTCCAGGGACTCACCAGGAATTGGAATCTCCCTCTAATGGCCTCGGCCTTCTTCATCGATAGAGATACAAACGGGTGAAAGGGAGGAGAAGGTCCCTCTGTAAGCTGATGCCTCTGTTGGGTTCTGTTTTCCCTGCAAGGCTGGCCAGGAAGTCAGGCTGGAACGAGGGAGGCAACTGTCAGCTGTTTATTTCTGCAGAAATGGAGAGCCTGACTCTTGGAATAGAGGTCCAAATCTAGCATGCTGTGTAAAATACGGCTCAGATATTCACACATAAAGTTTGTTATTTACAAGCAATCAATGGGATTCTTTCACAGAATTAGTGTTCACACCTGGTCAATTACATTTGTCTTTTTGTGTACAAGATTACATACATTGTACTTAGTACAAGAGAGCAAAACCTTCCTATTCTATCATTGTCAGGAATCGCCTGTCGCAGGTTTGTCTGCCTGCCTGTCTCACAAAGAAGCCGGCAAAGAGAAAGGGAGCTTACACAATCCAGCAGCTAATTTGATCAGTTCCATCTTTTTCTGGCTTGTTTCTACGTAATTTGATTAAGTTCTGGCTGTCTTGGTGCTTAAAACAGTATTTGAGACTTTTCTTCTGATGGGATGGTTTTTCTTTCCCCCCTTTGCTGAGAGGAGAAACTGCAAAGCCTCCAGCCAGCAGGGGGCGCCATTCTCCAGCTCATCCCTGTTTCCGGAAATTCTTAGGGCCTTGCTGAGACTCTGGATCTGAAAGATTTTTCAAACATTTATATTCTTTTATGTTCTATATTTTATATTCTTGAACTATCAAGCTATCCCCTCCTCTTTTCCACAGACGGGGCCTAATTTCCACTCTGTACATGCTCAGTGGAAAAATGACTGCAGAAGAAAGGAGATGATTCAAGCCCTGAAAAGTCCATTGGATGTTTCTCATACTTTGTTCATCATAGGAAATGTAAAATCAGCTGAATCTGGGGATCACAATAACAACTGTAATCGGAAGAGGGATTTATTAATTTAATCCAAGGAATCTCCAGAAGAAGCACCAAAGGAGAGAGCAGCCATCTTAGTTTTTGTGGGAAAAGAGAAAAGTTTGAAGTTTCCTAAAGATTCATGGCTTCATCAGAGAAGAAAAGGAAACAGGGAATTTATATATTGTATTTGATACCTCTGGCATTTTCCTATAGAAAGAAATATCTTCGCCTTGAAGATGCCACAAAAAAACCTTTGAGCATTTTTATCCAGAGCGAAGATCATTTGGGGTGTCTGAGGTAAAACACGGAATCATAGGACTGGAAAGGACCCCAGAGGTCTCCTAGTCCAACCCTCAGATCCAGGCAGGAGATCTAATACCTTCCAAGCCTAACGGTTCTCCAGTCTATTTTTGGAAACTTCCAGTGATCAACCACTCACAATTCCAAGATGTAATTTATTCCACTGATTAATTGTTCTCATTTTAAAAAAATTATCTTTCTAGATTGGATCTCTTTTTAACAAGCTTCCAACCCAATGACTTCTTGTCCTGCCCTCTGGGGCTTTGGAGAAGAGGTCAATCCATTCTTCTCTGGGATAGTCCCTCAAGTGCTGGAAGACAGTTATCCTGACACCCCACTCCCCAGTTCTTCTGTTCCATAGGCTGGGCATCTCTTTCTCTCTCTCTCTCAATGGGTCATCATACCATTTAATCTTCCTTTATCATCTTTATTGCTTCTCTCCGCATTCTTTCCAGGGTCTCTGCGTCTTTTTTGAATCGTGGAGATCAGAAGTGGATCCAGCATTTCAAGGGGGGCCTCACTTGTGCAGGATAAGCCGGAAGTATCATTTCTCGGGTTCTCTGTTTTTTCTCCTTCTGTTGATGCAGCCCAGGACTGCACTGGCCTTTTTGATCCCCTCCCCCTCGCCTGCGCCCCTCCCCCCAGGCTTAGAGAGCCCCCCCTCTCTTTTCCGACTCCCGCAGCTCTGCCCCTCCCCCAAGAGGCGGAATGCCTGGAAGGGGATTTCCTGCTGGAACTTTCGCTTTCCTTTCCCCTCCTCTCTGGCCGGTTGCGCCTGGCCATCTGCCTAGCAACAATGACGACACGGGGATATCTTTTTTCTACTGGTTGAGCTTGCCCAATCACGGGCTTGCTCAGGGTTGTTCCTTGTCGGTGACCCGGGGCGCGTCTTTCTCTGCCTGCGACTTCAGAAGCCCTGAGCGGAGGCTGAGGATGGCGGCCAGGATGGCTCTGCGCTTGCTGTCTCTTCTGGTGGTGGGGGTCGCTCTGCTGGAGAGCTGCTTCGGTGAGTCCCTTTGGGGGCGTCTGGGGTTCCGGCCCCTTTTTCTACTGTTGGGAATCCATCCAGGGAATCTCTCCCCCCCCCATGTTTATTCCCAGAAGGAGAATCCTGATTCGGTCCTCTTTCTAGTCCGCTCCCCCTCTGGCCACTCTCAGAAGGGACCCCAAAGCGTGGATGGGACTCTGCTGCCTATCCTTACCCTCCTAGAGCCCCCCTGGGAGCAGGACAAGGGTGGCCCCTCCAGATCTCAGTCCAGTCTACCTGGGCGCCCCCGAGCGCAGTTCTTTCCCAATTTCAAAGTGGAGGTTGTGGGAAAGTGGCGTTTCCATGGGATCAGGACAATTCACCAACCTCCTGGCTGCCTTCGCCCAACCCCTCCGCCTGGGTCGCCTCTCCTGCCTTTTGGGGGACTTTGTGGCTCTTGGTGGCTTCCGGTGCTGGGAGGACTTGGCTTGTTTGGTATATTGGCTGATGCCAAGGCTGGTGGCATTGAAGGGTCGGGATAAGGCTGCCCTGTGAATGCAGCAGGAGAAAAGCCTCGAGAGAAACACTCTTTCAATAACGTTTCTGCCTTTAGGACGTTCACTTTCTCCTCCATCCTAAACCCCAACATCCCCAGAGCTTTTCTCTAGGCCAGGCAGGGATTTTACCACCCAAAATCCTCCTCCTTCCATTCCAGGATTGCTCAGCGTGGGTCAGTTTGCAGTATTTAAAATGTACAATTGTTCCTTAGGAATCAGGAAGGGGCCTTGGGGTGTTCCTGGTTGTTTGCTCTGAGAAACGACTGTTTGAAGGGAGCAGCATTTCCGAAGGCATTAAAAAAGCTGTCAGGATCTTAAGGATTAAATAGGCCGGGTTGGAGGCAGAAGAAGAGAAGAACCTCTGGAGGGTGACCATGAATTGAATCGCTTGCTTGGACACAGACAGGCCCAAACTCACCAGCCGTTCCTGACTGGAGGCACATTCACCATTGTGAGGATGCCAAACCTATGCACACCCGTGTTATAGTCACACCTGTCATTTCTGACATGAAGAGGATTCGTGGCTGTGAGGACGCCCAACATGTGTTACATTCACATGTTTCTCCTCTCAGGCAGACTTCAGACTTCCTCATTGCTCAGCCCCACAAGGGAAAGAAGCAGGTTCTGGATCACGGAGTGTCCGATCCCCCCTCCTTCTGTTAGAGAAAAGCTCTGATCCCTTTGGATTCTGAAATCTCCCCAGAGCAGGAAGTGGATCTGGGGCTCCCTCTCCCCAAAAGCTCTGAGAAGCCCCTGGGATTGTGGGGAGGAGCAGGAAGAAGGAGGCCCAGGCCTTTGCCTTGGATTGGGAAGGACTGGGAGACCATACTGGAGGGAATGGGCAGTAGGACTACAGGTAATCCTCAACTTACAACAGTTCATTTAGTGACCATTCAAAGTTTCAATGTCATTGAAAATAGTGATGTATGACCATTTTTTCACACTTATGACCATTTTAGCATCCTCATTGTCACATGACCGAGATTTGGATGCTTGGCAACTGGTTCATATTTATGACGGTTCCAGTGTCCCCATATCACGTGACCCCCTTTTGCAACGTTCCGACAAGCAACGACAATGGAGAAGCCAGATTCACTTAACAACCGGGTTATTCATTTAACAACTGCAATGATTCATTTAACAACTGTGGCAAGAAAAGTTGTAAAATGGAGCAAAAAACTCACATAAGAAATGTCTCACTTAGCAACAAAAAATGTGGGCTCATTTATGGTCATAAGTCAAGGACTATCTGTATTTATTTCTCTGGGCTTTGGAGATTCTGCCCTTTTGTATGCGGACCCAGGTTCTGCCCAAATAAGTCCCATGAACGATCCTGAAAATGATCTTCAAAATCTTTGGTGCCCTGAAATAATTTCTGATCTGAAGAGCTTTCAGAATGGACACAAACAAGGGGCCTTGGAGATTTTCCAGTTTAATCTTATTTTCTTTTAATTCTTTTAATCCACTTACATGCCGTTGTTTTTCTGTTCATTGGGCAGCCTTAAAGTCTCTTCCGTTTTTCTATTTTGACGATAAGAACTAAACAGTGAATTAATGTGATTTTTTTGGTCATTGTTAGTAAAGTTTAGCATAGTTTTATGTCTTGTGAATTGAGCCTGTCCTTCAAAGAAGGGCTGAAAAAACTTTGATGCTCCTCATTCCGGAGTTTGCATGATAGAAACTGACATAATTTTGTACCTTTATGTTGGATTCCCCAGAGGGGCTTTAAAGATGACAGGACCCTCCAGAGAGAGACTGAATTTAGGGAGAGGATCCCAGCTGAGCCCCCTCCCCGAAATATGGGTGTTGGCAGCAGAAACTCCCACCATCCTCCTTGGGGGCAGGGGGTGGGGCCAGGATGGAGGGGCCAATGGTTTTCTGGGGGTGAGGAGAATTCTGGGAATTGAAGTCCAAGTGTCGGAGTCTGAGAAACTCTTAATTTAGGCCTTTACGTTGAGAGTCACCGATCATGTGAAGAGTTGGGTAGCCAGGATCACAATCCCCTCCCGAGGTGGCTGAGGGGCATTTCTGCCTTTCTTTGTGCTGACCAAGTGCAGGATCAGCCCCAGAGGAGGAGAAGGGTCAGAGCAGCTTCTGGGGAAAGTGAAGGGGGAGATTCAGGGGAAATCTGGTGCATTGCAAAGGTCTTTGAAGGAGAGTTTGAGTGCCCTAATTGGGTTGTTGAAAGGAAGAAATCTTGGGATAATCAGACTTGAGATTTTCTTTTTTTTTTTTATTGCAAAAGTTTTACAATTACATTTTCACCGCATTTCCCCCCCCATCCCACCCCCCGCTCCCCACCCTAACCCCCCTCAAACCCCCCCTAACCCTCCCCCCCCTGACTTCCATGAAGTATAATCCCATCAAAGTCCCCTTTTTACAAAACTTGAACCCCTCAAACCCCCTTAGAAAAAAAAAAAAATTCCCCCCCCCTCACAGTATTCATACATTTCTATTTTTATATAATACTTTCAATGAAAAGCTATTTGGCATTTCCTAACTTGATATTTGTTCTGCACATAATCTATCCACTTTTTCCATTCCCATTCATAAGTCTCTTGTGGGCGATCTTTTAAAAATGCTGAAATCTTCGCCATCTCCGCAAAACTGGCCATCTTCAAAGTCCATTCTTCAATAGTGGGTAAAGACTCATTTTTCCAATATTTACCTATCAATAACCTCGCTGCTGTGATCATGTACAATATCAACTTAATTTCATCCAGTGTAAAACCCTTTACTATACCCAATAAGAACAATTGTGGGGAAAATGGAATTTTTCTCTTCAAAACATTCTGCATAACCCACCATATTTTAATCCAAAAAGCCTTAACTTTCTTACAATTCCACCAAACATGATAATATGTAGCATCTAAACAATCACATCTCCAACATTTTGGCTGAACATTAGGATACATACAGGATAATTTCTTGGGATCTAAATGCCATCTGTAAAACATCTTATAAAAATTTTCCCTCAAATTCTGCGATTGTGTAAATTTAACATTCTGAACCCATATCTTTTCCCATGTTTCTAACATCACTGGTTCTTCAAAATTTTGTGCCCACTTAATCATACAATCTTTAACCAATTCAGTTTCTGAATCCCTTTCTAACAAAACATTATAAAGCCTTTTAATATGCATTGGACCTTTCTCTTTTATATGTCTGACCAATTCTTCCTCATGCAACATAATACCAGTTTTTTGGTCCTCTTTCCATCTCAATTGTAGTTGATTATATTGTAACCAAGTTAAATTAATTCCTTCATCCAACAGTGTCTGTAATGTCTTCAACTGCCATCTGCCCGCATCTGTAAAAAGAATCTCTTTATATAAAAACCCCCCGAGTGACATTATATTTGTATTCCACATAGTATGACCAAGATCCAGCCATAACGGTATTTTGTAATCCCATTTGAGTCGGTGCTTCTTCCAAACTCTCATCAAAGAGTCTCTAAGTATATGGCTTTTAAATACTTTATCCACTTTATTATCATAAAATAAATAAGCATGCCATCCAAATTCAAGATCAAAACTTTCTATATTCAATATTCCAGTCTTTTTCCTTCCAAACCAGTCACTTGCTTGAGTCAAAGCTGCTGCTTCATAATATAACTGTAGGTTTGGAAGTTTAAGACCTCCCCTTTCTGGAACATCTTGCATAATTTTCAATTTCACTCTCGGTTTTTTCTCATTCCAGACAAACTTATTCAGTCCTCTTTGCCACTCTTTCAGTTGTTTATCACTTTTAAGCACCGGAATCATTTGAAACAGAAATAGAAATCTTGGCAAAATATTCATCTTTACTGCTGCTATTCTTCCAAGTAAAGAAAGCTGCAGTTTTTTCCATGTCTCCATGTCTTTTTGCACCTCTCGCCACAAAACCTCATAATTATTTTGAATCAGTTTCATATTAGATTCTGCAACCTGAACTCCTAAATATTTAACCTTTGACACAATCTCAAAACCTGCCCTCCTTTCAAGTTCATATTTTCGTTCTTGTGTCATATTTTTGACTATCATCTTAGTTTTTTTCTGGTTCAGTCTGAATCCTGATACTGCACCATAATCTCTTATAATGTCTTTCATCAGGATTATTGATTCCACCGGTTGTGTTAGGGTAACAACCAGATCATCTGCAAATGCCCTTATTCTGTAATCTTCTTGCCTTATCACTATACCTTTCAAGCTAATCGAATCCCTTATTATATTCAACAAGACTTCTAATGTTAAAATAAAAAGCAATGGGGATAACGGACAACCTTGTCTTGTTCCTTTTTCAATTTTGAAATCTGTTGTCAAACTTCCATTAATAATAATCTGTGCCTTTTGCTCTTGATAAATTGCTGAAACCGCCAATATAAATTGATCCCCAAAGTCCATTTTTTTCAAAGTCTTTAATAGAAAATTCCAATCCACTCTATCAAAGGCTTTCTCCGCATCCAAAAAAGCCAGCACTGCAGGGATCTGTTTATTCTTCTCAAGATATTCCAGTAAATCTATCACTTGCCTTACATTGTCCTTCATATATCTACCCTCTATAAATCCCGCTTGATCTTCATGAATCACCTCTTGAATCACTGGCATCAACCTGTTGGCTAATACTTTTGCATAAATTTTGTAGTCATTATTCAGAAGAGATATTGGCCTATAATTTTCCGGTTTTTTAGGACCCGCTTGCTCTTTTGGTATCAAAGAAATATAAGCTGTTTTCCATGATGGGGGTATTTTACCCCCTTGTTGTATATTACAAAATAAGTCTCTAAGTTGTTCCACCATTTCTGCTTGCAAAGTTTTATAATACACTGCAGTCAAACCATCTGTTCCCGGAGCTTTGGCAGTTTTCAGTTGTTTTATTGCTACAATTATCTCCTCAGCTGTTATAGGGTGATTCAGTCTTTCCTTTTGTAAGTTAGTAACTTTTGTAACTCTTTTATTTTCTAGATATTTTTCTATAAGTCCATTCTGTATGTCATCTTTAGCATATAGTTTAGTATAGTAATCTACAAAAACTTCTTTAATTAATTTTTGTTGATAAATTTCTGTCCCTCCAATGTCAATACAGTCGATGGTCCGCATACTCTGCTTCTTCCTTAGGGTGTAAGCCAGCCATCTGCCCGGTTTATTGGCATTACAAAATGTGTTATGCTTTGCATATTGTAAATTTGTTGCAACCTGGTCCGCCATAAGCATTTGGAATTGGTCTTTCAAGAGTTTTATAGCACTATGTGTTCTTTTATCTGTTGGATTTTTAATAAGTAACTGTTCTTTTTTCTTTATTTCTGCTTCAATTTCAATTCTTTTCTTTTGTCTATTCAATTTGTGCTTAGAGTTCATGTAAATGAGTACCCCTCTCATATATGCTTTACTCGCATCCCATACAATTTCAATAGGGGTACCCTTGTTCAAATTAATTTCAAAAAATTCTTTCATCTGCTTCTTAAGTTCTATTATATTTTTTTCATATCTAAACAGATTTTCATTTAGTCTCCATGATCTTCTCTCAATTTTTGCAGTCTCAATTTCTATCCATACTGGACTATGATCAGATAAAGTTCTTGGAAAAATTTTTGTTCTTTTTGTTTTGACAAGTAAATCATTTGATACTAAAATAAAATCAATCCTTGAAAAAGATCTATGTCTGTCAGAAAAGAAAGTATAATCCAAGTCTTTTAAGTTATGTATTCTCCAGACATCCTTTAGTTCCAAATCTTCTTTCATTTCAAAAAAAGTTTGTGGTAGTCTAATCTTTGACTTCGCCAGACTTCTTTTATCTAGCTTGGAATCAATTACTCCATTCCAATCTCCCATAATCAAAATTGATCTATAGTCCCATTGCAACATTTTAGTATGCAAAGTTTTATAAAAGTGATCCTGCTGTTGGTTGGGAGCATAAAGCCCAATCACAAGAATTTGACCATATGGAGTACACAGTTCAATTGCTACAAATCTACCACCTTCATCCGCTTCTATAATTTTAGCTGAAAATCTTTTGTTTATATAAATAACCACGCCATTCTTTTTTTCCAAATTTGATGCTATGAAATGTATTCCTAACTTTAAATTTATCAAATATTTTTGATCTTGCGTTCTGATATGAGTTTCTTGTAAACAAATTATATCATTATTAAATTGTTGTAAATATGTAAATATTTTCTTTCTTTTCTGTGGCGAATTCAGTCCATTCACATTCCAAGACAAAAACTTAACCATCATGTATACCTTTTTGAAGCGACGAGCAGAATTGCCGGATGTCTTCCGAGGCCACCGACGTTGCTCTCCCCATGGCTTCCCTTTGATCTGTAGTACTCTTAGCTCCTTTTTTATATTGTTGTGCCGTAGCTCTTTCTTGCAGTTGTTTTTCTTTAAGTTGTTTTGAAACTGCACGAGTTATTCGCTGGTCTTTAGCTTCAGCCATACGCTTTAGGTCCAGTGCCACATCTCTTGTAGTCAGAATTGGAGAAGATTCTAACAGGGGCTCATCCAGAAAACCTCCTTCAGCACCCTGCGCTTCCGTTGGATCTAGTTCAATCTGCTTAAGCTGCACTTCCAATTCTTGCTGGGGTTGCTTCTCCTTCTCACTCTCCTTTATCTCCAGTACAGTAGATGAGCGTGGGGATGGTGACCTCTCTTTAAAAACATTGTAGTAAAAATATTCCGCTTTTTCAACAGTATTCAGTCGGTGTTTTTCCCCCTGGTACTTCAAAATTATACCCGTTGGGGCATCCCACCGAAATGGAATCTGTAATTTGTTTAATTCCTTTACTAGAAAACCAAAATCTTTTCTATCTTTCAGCATCTTTGGCGGTAACTCTTTATAAATTCCAACTTGAGTTCCCTCAACTTGCACAGAGGAAAGAAAAGATTTTTGCAGAATATCATTTCTCATTCTTCTGTCTGTGAAATAAATCACCACGTCTCTTGGTAATTGTCTTTGTCTGGCCACCCACGAGTTCACTCTGTAAATTTTATCTATTTTGCATAAAATCTCATCAGGATCAATTTTTAACAACACAGCCAAGGCATCAGCACAAACCTGTCTCAGATCTTGCCGGTCACTCTCCTTGATACCTCTAATTCTTATAGCAAATTCCATGGACCGGAATTTCATCATCGTGATTTCATCTTCAACTCTCTGCACTTTATTATCCACATCAGAAATTTTAAAATCAGTATCTTTTATTTTAACATTCACTTCTGATTTAAATTCTTCCAATTTAGAGTCCACTTTAATGATAACTTCTGACAGGCCAGAAACTGCATTTGATAATTTATCAGTCACCTTGTCATAATTCTCTTTCACCAAATTTTTCATTTCAGTAATTTCCTGCTTAATTTCCTGTTGGGATTTTTGAAATTTATCATCCAAAGCCTGCGTGATAAATTTTTTTAAACTTTCAAAATCAAACTGCTCTTCAGGCTTATGTGTGGGAGATCCCCCCCCTGCTGCCTTGCTTTCCTGTTTTTTAGAGGCCATTTTACCTCGTGAGTTAGATTTTCTAAAAAAAGAAATCCTTTTTCTTCTTCCAGCACCACAAAGTCCTCTTAGAAAATCCCCCAGTTTTAATCAGGTTAGAAGTAAGTAAATTTAAACTTGTGTGAAGTCAGCTTGTTTTAGAAAGGGATTTTTTTTTTTTCTCACCCCTCTTCTCCTGTACTCGCAACAAACAGCGCTACAATGTAACTTGTTAGAATAGCTTCAAAGAGTCACTTTCCCTTTCAGCTTGTTAACTTGTTAGCGCTGGAGCGGCGCCATCTTTTCAAGCCACTCCCACTCACTTCAGTTTTTAGTCAGATCAAAAAGTCACAAAGAAAGGGAAATACTTGCAATTCCTTGGTTTCAGGGTTCGGGTTTTTTTTTTTCTCCGTTAATTAGTAAGGTTAAATTCAATCGGCTGTGTTTGCTGCTGCCGGCTTGCTCTGCAATAAACAGAGTCGTCCCACGCCGCCCGGAGTCTTTGCAAGTTGAAAGGGAGCCACGCCTGTTTCCTCCCCAGTAACAAATTCCTGGGGGCTCACAGGGGCTCAACCTGCGCCTTGCCAACTCTCTCCTTCAAATCCTACAGATTCTGGAGTTTTCAAGCCGCTTCTCACGATCGAAGCGGCTCTACAAACGGCGGGGCTGGCGGACCTTAAAAAGGCACCGTCTTCACCGGAGCCAGCAAAACCCGGAAGTCCCAGACTTGAGATTTTCTGTGGAAGGAGGAGGAGCCCCTCTGAGTCCTGGGTTCAAAATCCGATTTTTGCTCAGATGGCTGAACTCTGGGAGGGGAGGGGGATTTTCCAGCCAGGAATGGGGGGGGAACAGGGATGAGGAGGAAGATCTGGGGGGCTAAGTCACTTCATTGCTGCTCCCTTCCCTCCCCCCTTTGCATTTCCCCATTTGGGTTTCCCCCAAAGGATCCCATGGCCTCTGGTCTCACCCGGATTCCCCCTCCCCCATTTTATAAAATCCCTCCCCAAATCTGCACCTATTAACAGTCCAGGTTGGCCTTCAGTAAAGTCAGAATGGGGTTTTTTTTGTTCTGTGAATGGAAAGGAGGGGGGACCAGGGGGGTTTCCTGCTGCTTTTGAGCTTCTGGGAGGGTGGAATCCCCCCTTTTACCTGTGGAGCCATTGCAGCTTCCTTGGGGCAGAGGCTGAGCAACCCAGAAGGGGGTTTGAGGGAGGCCTTGCTGGAAGGGGGGAGGGCACAATTGGGGCAGGTAAAGTTTGGGGGACCCTCCCCTCCCCTCCCCTCTCACCCCCCCACCTTCCCTTCCCTCCAACCCTTCAGTCCCTCCAGAAGCTCCTTTTTTCCCTCTCAGTCGCTTCTCCTGCCTCCTCTTCCACCATCTCCCCCTTCCTTCCCCCCTTCCTCCTCTGCCCCCCAACTCTCCTCTTCCTTCTTTCCCCCAGAGCCTCAGATGGGAGCCTCCATGGGATCAGGGTCCTTGGCTGAAGCCCCCTAACTCTTCCCCTCTGGCTCCCTTCCAGGCGCCTCCTCCCACTCCCTGAAGTTTTTCTACACCGGCATCTCGGACCCCACTCAGGGGCTGCCCCACTTTGTCATTGTGGGGTATGTGGACGGTCAGGTCTTTGTTCACTATGACAGCCACAGCCGCAGGGAGCAGCCTCGAGTCTCCTGGATGGAGAAGTTTGTGAAGGAGGATCCCAAATACTGGGACAGTCAGACCGAGATAGCACGTGACTCTGAGGAGTGGTTCAGAGAAAACCTGGAGACTCTGAGGAATCGCTACAATCAGAGTGAAGGTGAGTGATGGGTCGGGTGGCTCCTCCGGCCCCATAATCCCCTCCCCAGGAACCAGAGGGGGAAGAAATGGGTCCTTTCAAAGGGAAAGGCTGCCTCCATACCTTTTAAAAAGTCTTTTTTTATATGTTTATTCTTTTTTTAAAAAAAAAATCAATATAAGTTTCTCCTTCCCTCCATAGCTGACATTTTCTGCCAATTGCAGTTAATAAAAAGATGTTTAAATTTATCCATCTGTCTTTCTGAATGTTGATATGGATATTGATATAAACTGAGGTAAAAAGAGACCGAAATCTCCCCTCCCCCCATGAAAGATGGAGATTCTGGCCTTGGTGGATCTCCTGCTGTGGGGGAGGAAGGGAATCACAGATCCCCCCCCCAAAAAATAACAGGCAGGTGGATCCTAATTAGATCCTGGGGGAAGCAGGTCCTCGTCCTTCTGTCTGTTTCCACCTCAGAGAAATGAGGGATCGAGTGCAGATCCACCTGGGGAGACTAGATCCCTTTCCTTCCCTCCCTTTTTGGAGGGGCGAGAGGGGCCCAAATGCCAGGAGCTTCTTCTCACCCTCCAGTTGGAAGGAGAGGCCGGGAGGACCAAATGGGGGGCTGGGGGCTTTTGTGGGGGGGGGATCTCAGGGCCAGGATCCTCCCAATCTTCATGGGGAAGAGACGGAAAAGAAAGAAACCTCCATTTGGGGCCCTTCCAGAGTCTCTCAGAGCCTTCATGGCTTCCCATCCTTGGTCCCTCAGGCTGAACTCCTGCACGGCCCTCTTGGTGGGGCTGCCCTGGAGGGAGGGAGACTCTCTCTTCTGCAGCCCCCCCCCTTCTGCCATCTTTGGGGGACAAGATTCACCTCCAAGGAACCTTATTTGGGGAGGGTCTGCAAGCAAATGTGTGTGTAAAGAGAGGCTGCTTTTGGCTGAAGAAAAGCTTCTCCACAAACAGGAGCCATTTTCCCTCCTTTCATCCCAAGGAGGTGCAGCCCCCCCAATTCTTCCACCCTTTCCTTGCCCCTCCCCCTCTACAGGTGACCCCCAGAGCTCTGCCAGTTCTGCCCCTGATCCCCCAGGATCTCCCCAGATCCCTCCAGGCCCCCTGCTGGCCTCTCAGGGGAGCAGAGCTGGACCCAGAGGGCTCCCCCTGGTGGAGGAAGGAGGAAGGAGACCGGCCAGAGTGGAGGGGAGCCTCCTTTCCAGGCTCAACAGCCCCAAATGTCCCAACCTTTCCTCAAAGGGAGGCTGCTTCCTCCCTCCCATCACCTGAGTCGCCTCCTCTGGACCTTCTCGGGCTCCCTCCTCTCCTTTCGGAGGTCTGGTGACCAGAAACTGCACACAATATTCCAGATGTGGCTGCACCCTTGATTTTTTTTTTTTAATTTGATTTATATGCCGCCCTTCTCCGGAGACTCAGGGCGGCTTACAATGCATTAAGCAATAGCCTTCATACTTTTGTATATTTATACAAAGTCAGCTTATTGCCCCCACAAACTGGGTCCTCAGTTTACCCACCTTAGAAAGGATGGAAGGCTGAGTCAACCTTGAGCCTGGTGAGATTCGAACTTACAGTAATTGCAGACAGCTGGTGTTAATCACAATGCTATCAGTCTGCTGAGCCACCAGGCCCGTTTGCTCTAAGGCTTTGTGATATTAGCCTGTGTTTTCAATACCATTTTAATGATCGCTGACATCCTGTTCGTCTTTTCAATTTTTTAATATAATTTGTATTAAACCTTTTAAACAAAAGATAAAAACTAATAGAAGGTAACAGAAAGAAAAGGTGATAAAGAAATCAAAGAAAAATAAAAAAGTACAAGAAAAGAAAACAATTGAAGAAAATAAAGAAAAAAGACATAAAGAAGTGGCTTCTGATATTTCTCATAGCGGTTCTAAATATAACTATATTTTAGCCTCTCTAAAGCAGCTTTTCTGACCTTTTGACCCTGAAGGAACCCTTGAACTATTTTTCAGGCCTCAGGAAACCCCTGAAGATCCAGCCTCAGAGATCGGCTGAAATTGTTTCATGCATAGACCTTTGAGATGCATTAACAGTGTTCTTACACTAACAATATAAAAATGAAACTTGCCTTTTCGATGAGATCCCTGTGCTTCCTTTTTGCTGCAGAGCTATTCAATTCTGTGGCAAACTTGAGATAAGAACACATTTCATCTTCAACTGAAAGAGACAATTTCTGTCTTAGCTTTTGATGCTTCTGAAATAAGAAAAAGCTTGTTCTTAGAAGTTGAAAACTACAGCCAAATATTTAGTGCCTTCCTGTGAATGGCAGGAAATTCTTCTCGGGCAGAAATCCAGAACTATTTTTCCCATGGGGAGATCAGGGAATCTCCTCTCGAGAGCAGGATCAGACTGCAGCTCCCAAGGATCTTCCTCTTCCTCCAAAGGGAAGTTCTCTGGCTGAGCAGAAGATGCAGAGAAAGGATCCTTCACCCGTCATTCCTGGGTGTGGAAAGGGAGGGAAAGGACTGGTCAGTTTAGTTCAACTGTCCTTACAGGAGGTTTTCCATTAGATTTGAGAATTCCTGGCATCCTTCCTCCCTCTCAAGCCCAGACAGGAGTAGAAACATTTCAAGATTTCCTTTTGGTTTTTTCAAACATTCGGTTTTCGTTTAAATCCAAGAATCTGTTCACTCGAAGTTGAAATATCTTCTCCAGGGCCTTGTAGAGACTGTGAACTTCAAACTTCATTTCAAAGGTCAATAACCCTTTGGGTCTCCAGATGAGACTGGGCCACTTGCTGCTGTTGCTAAGGAAGATATTCCTTTGTGGCCCTTCAAGGCTTCATTCCCATATTGCACTAAACCATGGTTTGTTTCTGCTTAGCCCAAAGTGAGAACCAGCCCTTCTGACTTGGTGCTATTTGTGAATGTAGACCAAGATTTATGATCACAGGGATCCCTGAAAGCTTTTATGTAGATCAACCAGATCCTCTTTGAGGCCATGAGATTCTCAGTCCCTTTTTGCAGCCACAGATTCAGGCAACTGTCCCTTTGTCGTCTCCCCCCCCCCAGAGAAAACACCAAAAAGAAAGATGGAAGGATTTCCATCCCTCTGTTTCTTTTACCAGTCCTTCTTTTCTCGGTCTCCCTTGGGTTCCTCTGTTGGCTTTTCCAGATTCCCTTTTTCTGGGGAGATTCAGGGACTCCATCCTGGAGGTGGGAGCAAAATGTAGGGACGCAGGGAGAGGGACGGGAGAAGGGCAGTTAGTGATGGGGGCTTTCTTTTCCTTGAATGCTAGGGAGGAAACAGTCCCTGTAGGAGGGGAACAGCTCTGTCTATCTTCAGGACTCCCCAAACCATCCTCCTGTCTGTCTTTTAGGCCTTCACACACTGCAGCTGATGTATGGCTGTGAGCTCCAGAGAAACAGGAGCAAAGGAGGGTTTTGGCAGTATGGCTATGAAGGGAAGACCTTCATCACCTTCGACAAGAAGTTCCTCACCTGGGTGGCTCCTGAACCCCAGGCCCAGATCACCCAGAGGAAATGGGATGCTCTCCCAGGAAAGAATCAGAGAACCAAGGTCTACCTGGAGGAAATCTGCACTGAGTGGCTGGAGAAGTACCTGTCCTATGGGAAGGAGACGCTGCTGAGGACAGGTGAGCATCTGAATGCAGATGGGACTTTCCTCCTTTATGGCCGGATCTCTTGTACACATTCAGCCCCTTTGGGTCCCTGGTCTGGAGCTTGTTTGCCCTGGTAGGAATCCTCCCCCTTTCAGCCTCTCTCCAAGACATGGGAAGCCCTGTTTGGTTCTCATTGCCAGGCAGCCATTCAATGGCCCAGGAAATGCAGCCTCTCCCTGGCAGGTCTCTGTGTGGATCAGGCAGGAAAATCACTTAAGGGTGCCCTGTTCACACCCACAATGAGGCAACCATTTGGGGCTATTCAATGAAACCCCCATTAGCCAAACTGTAGTCGGGAGTAGTGGGCACCCTTAATTTCCCCCCATTAATTCTGCTTCTCCCCACATCCCATAGGCGGCTCCCTCCCTGCCTTGCACCTGATGGTGCACCCTCCCACCCCCACCACTAGTGGGTTCGACCTCTACCATTAACAGTAACAGTAACAGAGTTGGAAGGGACCTTAGAGGTCATCTAGTCCAACCCCTTGCTCACGCAGGAGACCTGTGCTAGGGATTCGAACCGCCGAACTGCAGACCTTTCTGAATGAGAAGCTCAGTGTCTTAGCCACCGAGTCACCTAGTCAGGCTTTATTAATAAAACGTTATCAGTGCCCCCATTTGGGCAAAGAAGGCCATGTATGAAGGGTTCCTTTCTTTCCAGGGCGATGAGGGGGGGGAGCAAAGTTTCTGTCAACCTTTCTCTTAAGCCTCAAACAGGTTCCCGCAATTCTCAGTGAGCCTTTATCAAAACAACCCCTTCCCCACCTTCAGGAACACCCCCTCATGCCCCAGGGGGCTCACATTATAATCTTTTCCTAGGATTTTTTATTAATTTACCCTGTAGACCACCCTTCTTCCCTAGGTCTATCCCTTCCCCCCTGGGGTCCTTGATCCTTCCAGAATCAGATGGATGAGATTAGGATCAATGGAGGAAATTCCCCACCACCACCCGATGATTGCCAATGGCCCCTCCCTGCCCAGGGAGGACCTTCTCTCTCTTCCATTGGCATCAATCTCTCTCTGCCCCCCCCTTTTCAGAGACAAAATCTCTTTTCCAAATTGATCAGTGTGAGATTCCCTTTGATCTCTCTTCCTCTTAAAATTGTGGTTGTGTCCCTTGGAAAGTTGTCTGGAGCAGCCTCAGATTCAGGGAGCAGAAGAGGAACAAAAAGTAGGAGAATCTTCTGTGTTGCTGTTTTGAAAGGGAACTTAAGAGACCATCTCCACTATCCCTACCCTGAAGGGAGCAGCCCAGGATCAGTCAGAGTTCAAAGCAGTCAGAGTGGAACTTTCTTGGACCTTTAATTTGCTGCTGGAGGTTTTTCAAGCTGAGTCCCTGGGAAGGACTCAAAATCAGGAGTTCTTGTGGTTGAGCATTTTCCAGATTTCAAGCATTTCCTAAAATTCCTGGAGACACTGCAAGTGTGGAATGTAAATCTTTGGGTTAAAACTAAGTAGTGGGAGATTTCCTGTCCCTCCAAGTTTCTCAGCTACCTTCCAGGCTCTGGAGGGGCTCAGAGATAATTCTGGGGGTGCCGTTTCTGCAGAGACCCCAAAGGTGAAGGTGAGCAGCAGGACGGAGGCCGAGGATGGGATGGAGACGCACATCTGCCGCATAGATGGCTTCTACCCCAGGGACATCGATGCCTCCTGGAAGAGGGACGGGGAGGTCTGGCTGCAGGACACTTTCCATGGGTCTGTGACCCCCAATGCAGATGGGACCTACCACTACTGGCTCAGTGTCCGGATCGATCCCAAAGAGAGAGACCGCTATCGCTGCCACGTGGAGCACAATGGCCTGCAGGATCCTTTGGACGTGGTCCTGAAGGTGAGAGGCTGCAGGGAGGGGAAGGCTGGGCTCTTTGGCAGACTGGACGGTTGTGGGAGAGAAATCTGACCCCAGCTGTGTCCAGATGTGACCAAAGCTAACCTCTGAGTCATTGATTTTTCTAGTGTTTGAGGTTGGTGAAGCTGCAGGGACCAGACCATAGAACTGGCTTCAGGTGATGGAAACTACAGAATCCCATCACAATATTGGATCGATCCTGATGAAATGCCCTTAGATCCTCTCTTAGGCTTCCCTGTTTCTTGCTGTCAGCAGAAAAGCAGCAGTTACACTGAGCACCAGAAAGATTTGATTTTGTTTAAAATTCCTAAGGTTCAAACATCAGGAGTATCTGGTAGCCTTTTTCTGAAGGCAAATTTTGACTTAAAATTGATGAACTGCAGCTGCCTCCAGGAAATGCAGAGAGGCTGGACTGATGCATCAGGAGTCAGAAAAGAAGCTACCAAATCTGAGTTTTTTCCCATCAGAGACTAACAGGGTTTCCTGCTTTAAAGGTCAAAAGGTCACCCTGTGTGGCTGCTCTAAGAAAGAAATTGCACATTATTGTATGATATGATGTGTGAATTCCTGAGGCTCAGCATAAAACTCAAGGAAAAAATCCCTCTCTCAAGGGGTTCTGTATATGCTCATAAGAGAAAGAGCCCATGGAGTTTTTTAATTTTTGGTATTTCCAGCTTTCATTTCTGTAGGTCTCTTCTTCCCTGATTGGGAAGATTGTTTGGGGTTCTTCTTCAATGATCTGCTCTTTCTCCCAATTCAGAACCAACCAATTCAAAATCCAACCTGGGGCTCATCATTGGCTGTGTAATGGCTGTACTTGCCGTGATTGTGATTGTTGGGATTTTGGCTTTTATTTACTTTCGCAGTAAGTATTCTTTTTTGGATGATTGGGGGAAGATGGGGAGATTCCTCTCAAGTCTCTCCCTTTGGGGAGCTTCTTCTGGGCTTCCTTCTGTCCTGTTTTCCCAGCCCTCTTGGGAGCATCTGAGATCTCAGCCTCTTGCTGGGACTCCAGTCTCGACTCAGACTGAATCTGAGATTCAGGCAGTCCTGTCTTCTCCCGACCTGGGAAGGGGCATCGCAGTTCCGTCCTTTTCAAAGGCTTTGGTCAAAGAGCAGCAGAGAAGGATTTCCATGAAAATCTTCCTCCCCTCCCAGTTGCTTCTGCTGCTTCCCCCAATTCCCCTCCATCCACCTCAGAGGCAGCAGCTCTCTCTTTGGGCAAATCAGGAGATACATTTGTATTTTGAAGATCTTTCTGTCTTTGTTGATGGGACAAAGTGACTGTGAAGTATCTCCTGGGGTTCTTCCTCCTATGGAGGGAGAGTTTGGATGATCTCCGGTGGATTCTTTTGAGCTTTCACTGATTTTTATCCTTGCAGAGAGACGTCAAGATGGCTACAATGCAGCACCCAGTGAGTGTTTTGTCCTCTTTCCATGTAATCTCCAATTTAGAGCAGGAACCACAGAGTCAGTATTGGTTGAGAGGGATGTGTGTATGTATGTTTCTGTGTGCTATCTTCCTCTTCACCCTAAAAACCAGGCTGGGGAAGATGGGCTCCCTTTTCATTACAGCCAGATTGTTCTTGGAAGTGGAGTCTTCAGGGAGAAACATCTGGGAGAAGGAACCTTCAAGAAGATGAGAAGATCTGGCTGGTGGAAAGTCCCTCTGACTGAGAAATTGCTCTGTTTCCCAAGTAGGCAGAAACGAAAGGCCTGGCCAAAAGAGAATCAGAAGCTCCATAAAATTAGGGATGA